GCAGCAACAGAAGAGACCCTTGCTTTGGATTGAGCCCTCCAAACGTGAACGAAAGACCAACTATTCTGTCGATCAATACTACAGAGACTCTTTGAAGACTGGTGGCCCCAAAGCCGACAAGCCCAAGGTTGCCCGTGCTCCTAAGCAGGTCATTGTGAACGACTTCCAGTTCTACCCCCCTCGACTCATCGAGTTGCAAGACAAGGAGACAGATCATCACAAGAAGACCATCAACTACCAAGCGCCCCTGAGAGAGCCTGAAGAGGGCGAGACCAAAGCGGATGTCGAGGCAGAGCAAAAGGAAGAGCAGGCCAGAATCGAGAACGGTATGCCAACTTCTCTTGACGTACAAATAGACACTGACTTGAGATCCAGCCGAGCCTCTGACTGAGGAAGAGATTGCTGAGAAGGACAACCTGATCGGTGAAGGCTTCCACGACTGGCAACGAAGACACTTCCAATCTTTCATCCGAGCTCTTGAGAAGTACGGCCGTGATGAGCTTGACAAGGTGGTCACGGATGTTGCGGACAGGACCGAGGAGGAGGTCAGAGAATACGCTGCCGTCTTCTTTGAGAGGTACAAGGAGCTAAAAGGTGAGTTTGTATCCTAGCGTAAGATCCATTGCTGATTTTGTAGACTGGGAGAGGATCATGGACCGTATTCGGGTTGGGGAAGAGAAGATCAAGGAGCAGCAAGATCGAATCGACGCCCTGCACCGCAAGATCAAAGCCAACCGCTTCCCCTTGCAAGAACTCAAGATCGTCTACGGTCAGAACAAGGGGAAAGCCTATAGTGACGAGGAGGACAGGTTCCTGTTGGTCAGGATGCACCATCACGGCATTGACCGAGATGACTGCTACGAATTGATCAAGCGGGATATTGGGGAATGGCCACTCTTCCGGTACGTCCATTTGCAAGGGTCATTGAATTCGCTTGCTAATGCTCAGCTTAGATTTGACTGGTTCTTCAAGAGTCGAACTCCTGATGAGCTGAGAAGACGTGCTCAAACCTTGCTGTTGTGTATCATGAAGGAAGACGACAAGGTCGAGGATGAGAAGAAGCCTACCAAGGGCAAGGTATGTCCAATCGTCACACCTACGAACGACTACTGATAAGCCATTAGAAACGACCCATCGACGACCTGAAATCCGGGGCTGGGTCTAGGGATACTACGCCAAGTGTGGCTGGGGGCAAGAGCCATAAGAAGAAGAAGGTGTGAGGGGTTGTAGAGCAGATGACGATTTATTTCTTCCATATACCAATTCCATATCATTTCTCACTACTAGTCTCATTGTATGCAAAAAATGGTTTCGACACGTTCCTGGGCATCAAGTTGACATCGCATATAGATTGACAGTACTGGAGCATATCCAACCGTTCTACAGAGAAGGACGTTCATCAAGAAGATTACTCGACAGAACTTGTCTTCCAACTATCCAGTTCAAAGCTCAGTATCGACCATACGTCTCCCTCTCTCTCCATGCTCAGTCGCTCAACGCCCTCCTTCAGGGCGTTCACGCACTGCTCTAACTCCCCACCCATTCGTCTGAGTCTCATCGCAATACTGCCCTCTGTCAGAGGTATCTCTCCAACGCGGTTGCCGTCTCCATCAACACTTTGGAAGTGATCCTCTTCGTCCGAGGATGCATCCCTCTGCATGGGCCTTGCTCGTCGCCTCTTTGTGACATTCTGAGGGGTCGAGTGGGGAGTTTTCTGTAGGGTGTATGATGCAAAGCAATCGGATAAAGATGTGGATAGTTCGAGAACGGTCTGGATCGCCTCCTGAAGATCGGCAGATGCTGGATTGAGGAAGCAGTAATCCCTGACCTTTCTGACACTGACATACCATCAGGCCGACCAATACCTTTTGTAGTCTCCTTGCACTCACTGTTCAAGCTCCAAAGCGACCATTGACTTTAAAGACGTCATCTCTTCAAGTCGAGCTCTGTACCCCACCGATTGGCCCTCAATGACGTGTTCCGTTACCCAAGCGTATAGTGTACTTCGGGCTCAAAGGTCAGTCCATGACTATGTGACTGCTGCACGCGAGAAACTCACTTGAGCAACCAAGCGATCTTTTGGCGCATAGACCACAAAGCCCACGCGTCCTGGTCACTGCCACCCGCCAGCCTAGTGGATACAATGTCTCTGTCAAGCTGTTGAGTCTGGACAAGAGACCATCTCCCCATCGATAATTGAAGTATGAAGGTGAAGACTTCTGAGCGGAGCCCGATGGACGTGGGAGTGAAGAGTTGAGAGAGGGGAAATGGTACCTATTCGCGGATGTCAATAAGATTGGGACGGTACGTTCACGAGGATACTCACAAAGTAGTCTGCACGAAGAGACTCGATGGCTCTAGGACCTCGGTACACGCCTTGGGACCGGGCGGTCGTAATCCGTATGGCCATTGGGTTCAACCAACTGGCTTTACGGTCCTCAATGGCGGTACGTATAGAGCTGGTAAGCACCTGGAAGTCGGTCCATGTTTCGCCTTGATGAACCTTGCGCATATGTCAGCATCTGTCCACTCAACGTCCTACAACGAGAGAATTCACCTTTTGGAACAAGACATCCGTCCAATCATGGAGAACATCCACCGCTTTGGCGAAAAGAACTCCTTCGATTGCTTCCAAGTGCAATTCAAGACCACATTCTTCGTCCAACACCCTTCTCAGATGCAGCCGTGCGAGCTCACATATGGGTTGGAGATACTCACCTATCTTTTCCAGGATGTCTACGTTTTTCTCATCCGAGGCTTTCCCGTCTGGTAGCGAAAGAACATCCTCAAAAGATAGCCACTGGTCTGCCATTGTCATATCTCGGCTGTCACTCAGAGTTTTCAACAGCCCTCGAGCTTTTCCAGCTTCCAAAAGCATCTCTCCCGTTTCATCCCCGATCCACGCTGGCCATCCCTCATCACCAACAACGAAGCCACACTCCCAGAAATCTTCATCAGCCCAGGAGACATCCCGGTCACGCTCGATGAAAAATTCCGGATCAAGCTTTCTTTCGCCGTCATCGAGGGACAAGGTCGATAGAGCGACTTGTTCTGGATCGGCCAGGGCAAGGGGCACAGGCATTCCATGCTGTAGCCATCTCCCTATCATTCGCCAAGAAGGCTCCGCCGAGCGAAGGAATAGTCTGCGGAGTGCTGGTAGGTGTTTCGTGTCATTGGTCTGTTGTAGGTTGGTGATGGTAGTATACATGAGATTCAAGAGGAGTGTCGGGGAATGTGAATGGGGTAGGAATGCCGACAGGTGCTGTAGGAGGGACGCGTAGAGTCTTTCCAGGTCGCGCTGAAGCTGTAGGGGCGTTGCAGCTGTCGATGGGAGGCCGCTGATTTTTGGGACGCCTTTTGTAAAGGCAGTCTCAAGGTCGGCCAACCAGGACGCAAACCCTTCCATGATGTCCCGGCTCGCCTCAGCAAACGCTTGCTGGGTCTTGCTGACTTGATTTTCACTGATCCCGGGCATCAATGACCGAGATATGAAGAGACGTATTCTTGAAGCTTGAGTGGCATGTTGCCGGAATGTATTGAGGATGCCCGAGAGACCACCAGGAGTCAACATCAGGACTTGTGGGTGACCTGCAATGACCTATATGGATTGTCAATTCGATCCAATTTCGACTAGATCGGATACCATCAGAACGTGCTTACTTGGCATTCACCCTGCGCATCAAAGTTGAGCACAATACCAGGTCGACCTGATAGCGCATAAAGAAGTTCTCTGTGTAGTTGGCTGGGTTTTATGACCTGTTGGCAGTCAGATACCGCTACGTACACCTGACAAGCACATACCTTGTCGCTAGCAGGAAGATCTATAGATGCAGATATCGAAGCCGCATTCGTAGCTGATCGACTTTGAGTACAGACGTAGCACGGAGGTTCATGAGTACGCACCTGTACACAGTTGTCTCCAACCGTGGATCCCTTGAGGCATCTTTTGCACTGACTCTTGATTCGACCAATAGCCATTCTTGAGTTCCCGTACAATATCCCTTGCTCTCGCGTATGCCTCCTGTGCGTCCTCTGCGCTTGCCTCCTCGTTCTTCTTCTTCTTCTGTGTCTTCGAGGCCGAGCTACTCGGGGTACGGATCTCTTCCTCACGGGGACTATTCTCGGCGTCTGAAAGCGATGGATCTGATTCTGAATCTGAATCTGTCCACCCATGAATGACTTCTTCGTCATACGACTCTCCTGGATCATAGGGATTCTCGTCCATGATCTGCTGATAATAGAGCTGATCTGGTGTAGGTCCAGTGACAGGCGTGCGGTGGATATATTGATGCGCAAAATCCAGAGTGAGGGTAGCGGGTTTCTCAGAGAGTGCGAGCTGAAAGCAAAATGTCAATCTGCCACCTTAACATCCCTGAACCACTTACCAAGAGATGTATATGTTGAGGGAGATTATCCATCCGCACCGGAGCGTCCTCTTCCCATCCTTGCCTAAACTGTCTGAAACGACCCTGCAAGTCATTCACAGCCTTCTCGTATCCGTCTGCCAAGTCCTCATGAACACGAATCCTCGCGGCCTCAGCCAAACCGTGCAGAGACTGCGACACCTCCGGCCATACTTTCCGAGCACCTCCTAGAGTGTCAGACTTGATCTGGGATAGGGTTCGGGAAAGAAGTGTGTCATGTACTCGCTTGTAGTACGGGGATGACGGAGGTTCCAGGTCTGGTAGTATGGCGAGAATGAGCGACTCTGTGAGTGTCTCAAGCGAAGGGTGAGGGGCTTGGTCGGGCATTTGTGTTCGCGTTTCACAAAGTGAGCATTATTGCTGAGAGATAGTTTGATTATCGGGAACACAAGCTCTGTGGTCCTTGGCGAAATAATGTGGTGCTGCTGTAGGGGTTGTCAGCCTGAGCCATTGTCGAAAATGAGCAGCCGGAAGCGCGTCGCGTAAACAAACGGCCATGTCCGCCCGGACGGGATCTAATTTTGCCGCATTGACGCGTTCAAGGACCCGCAACTGGAGTCCAGTCAACCGCCAGCCTCAAGATCACTCAACATCCTGCCTTTCTGCCGCGCTTCTTGTCACCACAGAGGATGTCCTCATCAATCAGCTCGTCCAGCGATGTTGAGGCTATCCTCAAGTCCAAGCGGGAGCTGCAGGAGAAGCCCACAAACGACGTCCTCCAGCCTGTCTATCGCTTTCTTGTACCTCAGGTCGACGGGGGCTCGACCTCAACCACTACCCATGAGGATCACTGGTACTGCAGCAAAGCGGTATCTCCGCTTCACCGTGAAGCAGCTACGTATCTGATATTCCTGTTCGCTTTCCAGCGGCAAGGAACCTCCAAGTTGTGGGTGGAGAAGGTGGAGATGATACTCGAGTCTTGCGAGCAGTGTGCTAGGGGATTTGGGGCCGCACGAAGGCGCATGGAATCAAAGTGAGTATTGTATGCGTCTGAGTGTGCATCAGTGGCTCATGGAAATGCCAGGTACCTGTCCGACTGGCCGTTGCATGTCAGAAAGAATTTCTTCGGTGCTGTAGATCGTTGGCAGAGCGGCTTCATCGCCGCCCAAGTCAAGAAAGCTACCGACCCAGCTTATGGAAAGGAACCACCCACCGGCCCTTCTTTGTATGCTCTTGGCAGGCCAGCTTTACAGGTACTCATGGGAGAGCCTTCTCTACTGTCCCACAGCAATATTGTGCCCCTCATCGACGACGCCTTGTCAACACCTCCTCCGGCTTCTCTTAGTGCACTTGGAATGACCCCAGTCCATGCGCGTCTCCTGTCATCCACGGAGGTATCGAAGCGCGAATGGTGTCTGGCGCTATTGCCTGCAGCTGCCCGGCGGCCGCTGTCCTTCACCGAATGGTGCTCCCTGGGTATAGGGAGTGAATTGCAAGATCTCTACAATGACGGATCTCTAGATGGAGAGACGAGATGGACAGTGATGAAGACTGTCATCGATTCAAAGGTGCTTGATAAGGAGACGGTCGAGAGAGGTTTACTCAAAGGACAATTGGAGGACGAGCCTCATGGGCGAACCGGTAGAGGTTTAATGCCTGTACTGAGCGGCTTGATAAGCAGCGATATCACATGTGAGTATCATCTTTGAGTATTAAGTGATATAGCTTATCTATCTTAGATCTAAGTTCGGTCCTGTCGTGTTTTCACTCCTTACTGCATTCGACGCCCACCCATCTGATATGGGCATTCGACACATCCCCTGATCTCCCACACACCCTGCTTTCCGAACTTCGAGCAAATCCCGCACTTCAGAGTCTGTTCGAAGCTAGATTCAAGACCAAAAATGCCGAGATCGAAGATACCGCGCCATCGTCTGCGGACAAGGGTAAAGGTAAAGCTCGGGAAGATGGTCCCTTGGACTGGATGGGCGACTTTTTGCTTTCTGTGCTAGACTCGGATAAGCAAAGAAGCAGTCCTGCGAAGGGCTCTCTCGCGTTCACTGAAGCCCTGGCGATTGCCATGAATATGGTCTTCCAAGAGTTTCAGCACCCCAGATTGCCCGAAGGACTTCGAGCTTTTGCTGCATACGCTGGTTTTGACGTGAGTGTGAGATTCGAAATTGAGAGTGAGAGTCGCTGACATTGCTGAAGGCCCTGATACGAGTCTATCAAGCGGTCGGTCCCGGAAATACTCCCTATAATACTGCAATATCATCCGTGCTCGACTTGCACTCCGGCTTCATCACCACGGTTGCTTTTCGCCCCCAACATCAATCTCTTCGCGCCTGGTCCGAGACTCGCTCTGCCGCCCGCGAAGTCTTGATGACATTTTTTTCGGCAGATGCTACTTCAACGATCAGCAGTGTGATCGCTTTGGCGATGATCAGCTATGACGAGCGAAAACGCCTACAAAGGAAGAAGAGAGAAAAATCAGAAAAAGCCCCGCCGCCCAGATACATAGACAAGCTTCCTCAGGCTGTCGTGAGAAAAGATCTCTGGGCTATGGCGTACGATGCCTTGTCCCCGACCGACTCGGAGGGGGCGGCTATACTGCTCAAATCACTCGTCCCTTTCGCCCATATAGAGCTGCTTGATCGACAAGCTTCGTGGACGCATCACGGCCTGGAGGAGGTGGTTAAGAAGGATGACTGGGTCACAGCGATACGGTCGATCAATGCCGCGATACGGTCCACCCGAGAATCATTCCCTCGTGTCATTGAGTCACTGGCCAGTCAAGCGGATCCACGCGTTGTTGAATCACTGTGGAAGATTGAAGGCATACCAAAAACGATGACCATTCTTCTTCTCTCGCCTGACGATGATATACACACCCCAGTCATCAGTATCATTCAACAGTCCTTTGAAGACGTCGATGATAGAGGAGACTGTTTCCGAGCTCTCCTCAAAACATACCCCAATGAGACTGTTGATGGTCTTAGCGATTTCCTTCGTACCTTCTTTGAAGCGGCCAACGTCACCCCCGAGTCATGCTCGCTCGCCAAATGGCTCGTACGATGCTTCCACGACGTTCTCGAAGTGCTCTGCGGCCCCTCCGAGCTCTCTGTCCCCCTTTTGCAGTCCGACTCATTCCTCTCGTCCTATTCGAATGGCCGGGCTATGACGAAGCGCCTGGAAGAGCTTTGGCACCTCATGACCACCTCGCTCGCTCTGATATTCAAACGTACCCTTGATTGGGCGCCGCACTTTGAGAACGAAGTAATGGTCGATTGGATGCGGGATGCCTTGATTTTCGGTCGTCAGATGACGGATCATATCAGGGCCTTTGAGGCTGCTGTTCTTGGTACCAATGCTAGGTCAAGCGGAACGCTGTCTGAATCGACGGCGAGGACAAGTTTGGTCGGAAAGAAGATGACAAAACAATTGGAGTTGATCCTGGCTGATCTGATCTTGTGGCTGAGGTTGACCGAGTAAGTGCACGAGCAATCCCTTGAACGTACGCTAACGCGCGGCAGTGTCGAAACTCTTTTCCAAACACATCAACTTATCAAGACCATCCTCGATCGAATCAACAAGACCTCCACTGATCTATCCAAGAACCCCACTCTTGAAAGAACCCTCGTTGACATCGACAAGTTTTGTCGAAAGACCACGAGAAGCTTTACGAGTCGACTTACCGATGATTCTCTGTCTGAATTGTCTGAACTTCTTGAACCTTTCAATCTCGCCGAAGATGAGCCCGAGATACAGTTCGTCAGGGAGACTAAGCCGCCTTCTTCGGGGACCAAAGATGCCAAACCGGCTGCCCTTCGCAACGCTTTCTCCGAGATGATGAAGGCGTCCGGTAGTAAATCTGCCTCATCTAGCAGAGCCTCAACACCCTCTGAAAAACGCAAAGAGTCGGCTGGGAAGAGCAAAGACACGGGCGACGAGTTTGATGATGATGACGACTTTTTCGATCTTCTTTCACCCTCGGATCTCGATTTAATCGAAAAGCGAGCAGTCATGAAGAACAAAGTCACGCAGACTTCTTCCAAGCTGGGACCCTCAAGTCTCCAATCCTCTGCTCGAGCCTTGCCACCTTCTCACAAGATACATGTCGATCTGAGGTCAAAGTATCCTCCGACCAAGCCAACGTCGAGCTCGACATTCAAATCAAAATTTATGAAAGACCTCCGGAAAGAGCATGCGGCGTCTATACACGAGAGGAAGACAGATTTGGGACAATCAGCACCGAGGCTGCCCACTGCTTCTGTACTTGGCTCTGGATTAGGCGCCTATACCGGCCCGCCGAAAGCTAGAGTCGTTGAGCCTGCTGATAGCGGCTCAAGCGCCTCTGAATCATCCGATGACGAACGTTCTGCTCTCAAGAATCTAGCAGCGAAGCAGAAATCCCCAGCAAGGCCCGCTAGACCAGCACCCGAGAAAAGATCTATCAAGGTGCTTGCAGACCCTATGAATGATGTCCTTCGGCGCAATGAGGATAGGCGAGCAAAAGCGCACGCAACGAAAATGCGTCTCAAGCCAGACTACAACCCGCTTTATCGATACGTCTTATCATGGGATCCGGATCACGCCGGTCCCCTCCCCCCGCATGGTGCGAAATTCGCTGCTGCGCTGTCTAAGCTGCAGCCTGTGCCCAGCTCTTTTCGAGATGCGAAACACTATGAGCAAATCATGCTTCCATTGTATCTACAGGAGCTTTGGGCGCAGTGTGCCAAAGACCAGGCTCAAACAGGGCCCGCCATCGAGGCTGAAATCATGTCAAGACAATACGAAGATGACTTTGTGGATATAGAATTCATGGTCTCTGGGCGTGGTGATTTCTGGTGTAACGACTCGGATCTTGTGACTCTACGGCAGCCGGGTAATCCCAAAGGTATTTTCGCCAAAGTCATGTTTTTCAAAAAACAGATGAAGGCCTCGAGTATCAGAGCAAGGATCATGGCCTCCATGGACGTGAAGGAATTATGTGGAAAGTCGAAATGGCAGATCCGCAAACACTTTTCGTGAGTCGACCTTACTATGCGTTGTCTGTAATTCATGTGTTGACATAAGGCCAGATTGGGTACTGCTATCCGAGAGTTTGGAGCTCTGAAGGGTTTGCCTTGGTACGAGTCAACCTTGTTGACAGAGGCCATGGCAGGCAGGAGTGCTAGACTGCCACAGCCTTCTTCCAACGACATCGAGGACGCAATGCAGTCATTCGGGTTGAACCAGCCTCAGGCTCGAGCAGTCGTCAGTTCCATGCAGGGCAAAGGCTTTGCTCTTATCCAAGGGTAAGTCGACTACACTAGTGTCGATGTAGGCTGACTTGTGCAGTCCTCCCGGTACTGGTAAGACGAAAACAATCAGCGGCCTGGTTGGCAAATGGCTTTCAGAGCGAAGCATACCCATCTCTACCAACGGCCAGCCAGTCGTGAAGCCCAAGCTTCTTGTATGTGCTCCCAGTAACGCTGCCATCGACGAAGTCTGCAAAAGACTCATTCTGGGAGTACCAAATCCCGAAGGAGGCACTTTCTCCCCAAATATCGTTCGAGTCGGCATCGACACTTCAGTCAATATTGCTGTCAAAGACGTTTCTCTGGATAGCTTGGTTGAAGCAAAGATCAACACCAACTCGAACACTCAAGCCGGCGGCGATTATGCGAGAATACAAGCCGAGCTGGATGACGTTAAACAGCAAATTAAGGACAAGCAAGAGGCCATCAGATTGGCGGAAGGCCACGATGAAAAGCGTGGAACGTTGGAGAACGAGTATCACGCTCTTATAACGAGACGTACTCAGCTCGGTCAGGCTTCGTCAAAGGCTAAAGACGCTGCTCGGGACAGCACTCGGCACCTCGACGGAGCACGTCGCGCGGCAAGAGAGAGAGTTATGAACGATGCCGACATTGTCTGTGCAACGCTCTCGGGTGCTGGTCATGAAACTCTTTCAGCTTATACATTTGGCACTGTTATCATTGATGAAGCTGCCCAGGCCATCGAAATGAGTTGTCTGATCCCTCTCAAGTACGGGTGCACGCGGTGTGTCATGGTTGGTGGTGAGTCCTTGCAATATTCTTGTTTGTTTGTAGAGTTGCTGAAGTCCTGTCAGACCCCAATCAGCTGCCACCCACGACTTTCAGTACCAATGCCGAAAAGATGAACTACAACGAAAGCTTGTTCGTACGTCTCTCCAAGCGCAATGCAGAAAGCGTACAGCTTCTCAGGTAAGTAATTATTATCGCGATGGCATGTTCTTTGGTCTGACGGACATTTTAGCATCCAATACCGGATGAATCCATTCATCTCCGAGCTACCTTCCAAGGTTTTCTACAATGGTCAGCTCAGAGATGGTCCGGATATGGCGAAGAAAACCGCCGCCATCTGGCATGAGCGTAACGTATTTGGCCCCTATCGTTTTTTCAACATTCAAGGTACCGAAAAGAAGGTTGGAACCTCCACCAAGAACACGGAGGAGGCTATGGCAGCTGTGGAGCTCTATGGGCGACTCAATGCCGATTTTGGAACAAGGATCAATCTGGCGATGCGCGTCGGTGTCATTTCAATGTACAAAGAGCAGTTGAGAGAGTTGAAGAAGCAATTCATCGAAGCTTTCGGACCTGCGATTGTGGAGCTTGTTGAGTGGGTGTGCATCCAACCCGATAGTTACCAGTTCGCTCATGCTTGATCAGGTTCAATACAGTCGACGGCTTTCAAGGTCAAGAAAAGGACATCATCATTCTTTCTTGTGTTCGATCAGGACCCGACCTCCACCATATCGGTTTCCTTCGAGATGTCCGACGAATGAATGTTGCCCTTACCAGAGCAAAGAGCTCATTGTTCGTTTTCGGCAATGGACCGACCCTCGAAAGGAGCGATGATCGCTGGAAGATCATCGTACAGGACGCGAGGGAAAGGGGATTCTTTATCGATGTAGGTGACAAGACTGACAGTGTGTCCTTGCGCTAACAAAACACATCAGTACACTCCGACAATTTTCAGCGAAACCATTCATCCGCCGCCGCCCAAGCACAAGAAGAGGTCAAGTGTCCCCAAGACAATATCATCGCCTTCAAAACGAGCCGAGGCAAGCTCTCCCGCTCTGTTACCGCCTAAAGCCCTTGCGGCCGAGATTTCTGGCAGTCCGCAAGCCCGAAAGCGAGTAGCAGAGAATGATTCCGGCCCAGACAAGAAAAAGCGGCGCAAATCATCGGATGCTGGTTCCCCGACCAGTACTACACGGCCTTGGGTCAAGCCCGAACCTACTCCTATGAGGGAGTTGCCGAAGCCATCGACATCCAGTAGCTCAGACAAACCTCACAAACTTCATAAGGTCGTTGGTACGACAGGCACTTCCAGCCTGGACCGACCTCAGCAGTTGACTAAACCCCGCCCCCCGCCCCCAACTGCCCCAGAAGATGTACTGTTCATCAAAAAGAAGAAGAAGGTGAGGCGGTTCTACGTGAGCTCATAGTGCCATGCTCACCAATCCGTCAGCGACCAAACAAGTAGACAATTGACTTTGAAATTCATCTGTCACCATACGCTGTACTCATATCTTACACAATCGCCCTTGCATACCATCCATGTACTAGACCATGAGGTAAGTGTCTCAATTATTGCCCAACAGAATCCGACTGACCTAACCTATGCAGCATCTGTCAACTCCATCTACATCACACTAACATCAGTTTTACTCCCCATCCATACAATATGCATTGTCATGATATCTACGTACATACGACTGACTGCATTCAGATGAGTCGATCAAGACGGACTTCAGATCATGGGCAGAGGCTGATGATGAGCGCAAGCCCTTTGCAGAGAAGCACATCATACATGTGTACAAGCTACCCTATGGACTCTGAGGGATGACTGCTTTCTCGTCTGCTGTCAAACCGCTGCTACCAATGTTGGCCAACTGTTTTTCCAATAGAGAGGCTTCTGCTTTCATATCCTTCCTCTTCTTCTCCGCTGACGCTACTTTCGTCTTTTGCTCTTCTGTGAGATTGTCAAGTTTGCGATGTTTGATGATATACGCCTCAATCTGCTTCATTTCGTCCCTCATCTGGCGCAACTTCTTTCCGGGACCTTCATGATTGGCAGTATCGTCCTTGCTCATATCGCCCGATACAGCGCACGTCGAGCTTAAATTTTCCGTGCTTCGTTCGGATACGCTCAGCAACTGCTTTCTGATGGAGTTTCTTTTGGCCTCAGCTCTTGTCAGTTTAGCCTTCTGATCCGCATCTGGGTTGTCGATTGCTCGATACTTTCGCACGTAGAGGTCCATCTCTTTGAGGGAGGCTTCGAGATCTTTCTTATCAGGCGAAGACGATGCCGGGTCTTGTATCTTGACCTTCCCCTTTGAGTCTCGCCCCTCCTCTTCCGACCCGACTTTGTTCTTTCCTTTGCTCGCGTCTGTATATGATGGCTCTGCCCCTGCCTTGGCCTCCTGAGCTCTCACAGTCTTCCCAAATGCTCCAGACTTTCGCAGTTCGGCAAGCTTAGCCTTCAACTCCTTCCTCTGCTCCTCTGCCTTGCGTAGTTTCTCCCGATGTTCATCTGTAGGGGACTCCACCGCTTGGTACTTTTTGACGTACATTTCTGCCGCCTTGAGCTTTTCCAGAAGCTGTATCTCGGCACTCTCTTCTCCGTTGGTACTGGGCTTCGCGTCCTGACCGCTGGGCTCTTCGGGTCTGGCTTTCGTTTCCTTCTCGGCATCTCCACGAGGTCTCTCGTTTTCTTTCTGGATACGGGCCACTAACGCGTCCCGTTGCTTGATAGCTGACATGATCCTCTCTCTCGTTTCATCCGTGGCATCATCTCTCGACTTCAGCTTCTTGATCAAAGTCTCCAGTTTCTCGAGATCCTCCTTGGCCTTGGAGCTATCAGACCGTTTGGAGGAGCTGGCAGGATCCTCTTTGGGCACAGAGCGCTCTTTGGCTTCCCGAGCTTTCCTCGCCTCGTCAAGTTTGGCTTTCATGGCGGGATCAATGTCTGTGCTAGACGCTGAAACGGGTTTGGAGCTGGAATTTGGAGGAGGTTTCGAGGATGACGAAGACGTGACCGCTGTCTTGGGAGGTTCGGTGGGATGGAGCGATGTGTACTGCTTATCAATGTATTGCCAGGCGAAGAAGGCCACTAGTAGGAATGCAAGCTGCTGGTGCACTAGAGATAACGTTAGATTAGGAGTAGTGACAGTAATACTCAACTCACAATAATACAAGAGAACACACAACAGGCCTTGCGTGATATATGTCGCTTTTTCGCTATCGATAAGTCAGCACATGGTACTGTGCACAAGAAAGAGCGAGACAAACTTACAGTTCGGGGTTAAGCGGTATAGGCTTTGGCTCCGCTGTGGCAGCAGCTGAAGTAGAGGCACTAGGCTTCGACACGGCTGCAGATGAAGATGAGCTTGAACCAGTTTTGGCAGCTTTCAGCTCTGCCTCCTTTTCGGCCTTTGCTGTTGCCTCAGCTTCAGCTTTGGCCCGAGCAAGCTCCTTTTCTTTGCTTTTACCGTCATCCTTTGCGTCGGAGGATGACTTCAAGCTAGCAGCTTTCGGTTCCTCGTCCTTCTTTTCATCCTTCTTTTCCTTTTGCGGCTCTTTTGGTGTCCCCTTGGAAGCCTCTTCCTTGCCATCGTCTGTGGCCCCCTTGTCGGGCTCCTTGGCGACCTTTGGCGCCGCCATAGTATGATCGGCGTTCTTCGGCACATTATTCCACCAAAGCGAATTTCTCGAGTAGTGCGGCTTTGGATGAAACCCATGTGGAAAGGGAAAGAGAGCCGGACGGAATCCACGCATGGCCATGGAAAAGTTGTGATGTATGTTTTTTGTCTGTTTGGGCTTCTTCTTTGACTTTTTGAGGGCTGATTTGAGGGGGCGGTAGTCGCCCGACATCAGAGCGTCGTTGGTATCTGAGGTCGAGGACGAGGGAGATGGAGGGGTATCGTCGCTGGGCGGTTTGTCTGCTTTTGAAGGTGTCTTGTCGTGCGGACGTTCGCCCTCCATACGAGTCTTACCCTTGTCAACTTCCCTGAGACGGGTGTCAGCACAATGAAGTCACAAAGTCTCTCAGACGTACTGAACAGGGTCACGCGCTTTATCCTCTTTCAGCTTTTGGGCTTTCTCGGATTCTGATTCTGAGCCCTTCTTGTCGGGGGTTTTAGAGTCGGGGGACGAGCCGCTCTTATCCTTGGGCTTTTCTTGAGACTTTTCCTTGTCATCCTTGCTTGTCTCTCGTGCTTTGTCTTGGATCTGTTTGACGATACTGCCATCCTCGGGCTTTTTGGCGGGTTCAGAAGCCTTCTTGACCTTGTCCTCTGGTTTTACAGGAACAGATTCGTTCTTTGGTTTGTCTCCACTCTTATTCGAGGCTGTCGGGTCTGTTGATCCACTGGGAGCTTTCGACTTTTCCCTCGACTCTTGTTCAGGCCTCTCTTTGGTCGACCCTTCTGGTCTCTCTTTGGTCGAAACTTCCGGTCTCTCTTTGGTTGAATCTTCCGGCCTCTCTTTCGGTCTTTCTCTGGTCGAACCTTCCGGTCTCTCCTTCTTCACCTCCTCTTTGTCCGACCCTTCCGGTCTCTTCCTCGACTTTTCTTTGGGCTTCTCACTCGGCGATTCTTCCTTGGTATCCGCCGGGGCAGCCTTCTCCGTCGAAGCAAGAGCGGAGCTTTTCTTGGCGGGCTCTGCAGACTGTGAGGTCGTTTTGGCGTCTTTCGCTTTGTCTGGCGCCGCGGGCGGCCTGGTGTCTCTATCACTCGAGGACGGCCTCTTCCGCTCACTATCAGGTATGCTCTTCCCTTTCGTAGGCTCGCCCCTCACCGCGCTTCTGTCCTGCCAAGGCGGCCGAAACAGATCCCACGAAGTTTTCAGCCTCTTCATCATACCATCCGGTACCAGACCCTTGACGAGGTTAAGAGCCAGAAGGATAATGCCGATAGTCATTGGATCGGGGTGCCAAGTATCGTCGAGGAATGACTTGAGGATCCCCAGTAGCGAGAGAGCGACTTCGGCTTCGTTCGTAGGTATTTGAATGCGTTGTGGTGAATCAGAGATTTGAGCGTCTGATGAAGGGGATTGAGGGTGGTAGTTACGAGCAGGAGGGTATTGTTGCTGCTGTGGCATGAAAAGCGGATAGTTCATGATAGGCGGCGGAGCTCCCCAGAAAGATGGAGGTTGCATGGCGAGGCCGATTATGACCACTGCCGCGACTGCTTGCTCCAGTGGCCCGAACACTCTATAAACTGTCAGCTTCAACCTCATTAGCATAGAAAGGCTTACTGTGAGTTACTTCGTCTAATCCAAGCTGTGACGGAGTCTGTGATTCGGCGCTGGTAGTAAGGTATGAGAAGAAGAGGTGTCAGGAAGAACGGCAGAGGCATGATCAGAGGGGGCGAGCTTCTGCAGGCAGTCAGAAATCATCTCAAGAGCCATACGGCAGGCATCAGCCTATGCCTATTCTGGCACTGGGACGTTCGAAAGGAAAGGACAATGGATGTCTACGGTCTACTCTCTACTAGCGCTATCAACTCCGGCGGAACCAAATGGGGCGCGTTTTTGTCAACAAATCGCCCCTCGAAATCTATATCTGCTTGCCCAACCGTGTTCGTCGACTCGCCCCCAAATTCAGCATTGTTATACACCCACCACAGGCGATATAGACGCCCCGCCCGACCCCATCCCCCCTCGAGTCCTCTGAATGCTGCTCATACGGCGCAGAGTCTCCAATCTTATGTCTACCTCAAATCCTCCGTACGTGAACTGTGTGACCATCGGCCATCAGTCATTGACTTGATACAGGGCTCTGGCCAGTCCTTCGAGCCAATACTCCTCACCGCCCAGGCTGTTTCATAGCGATCCCGTCTCAAATCGCGATAGACGTGCTTCTCCCCAACCTCGACGCGGCTACAGCCCCTCATGGCCTGTCGATTCCTCCTCGCCCCCACCCGTGCCCGAATGGCGAGCCCGCCGCCATGTACCTGGGGCGTTCAAACACTACGACCATCATTACCAAGAGCCTTCTCGCCAAGTACAGAGTCAAATGGGCTCCGATGGCAGGCCGGAGCGGAGATACGTGATCAACTCCGATGATGGCTTTCCGGGAGCTTTCAGAAGATCGAGAAGTCCCTCTAGAAGACGGGAGCACTTCAAATCAGATCCTCCTATAGTTAATCTCCCCCCAGATGACTATCTCGAATTCGCAAAGCCGACAAGCGAAAACAAGAACACTCTGATATCAGACAAAATCATACCCAAATTGTTGGTTCTCGACCTGAACGGTGCTCTCGTATACCGCCGAAGATCATCAGGCGCTACCCCCCTGCCGAGACCTTACTTGTGTTGTTTTCTGGAATACCTCTTCCTTCCTGAACCAGACCATGCCGACAGTCCACGCCCGTGGGAGGTGTTTGTTTGGTCCTCAGCCCAGCCGCATAATGTGCGGGCAATGGTCGAGGCTTGTTTCGGGCAAAAATGGATTGAGGGTGTCTGGGAGGATCAGACGGAGACAAGTGTTGATGCTATGAAGGCAGGGGAGGGTAGATTAATAGGTGTCTGGGCCAGAGACAAGATGGGCTTGAGTGGGCAAGATTATTGTGAGTATGGCGTTCTTGTGTATGTCGCGCTTGCTGACCATTATTGAAGCCAGAAAAGTTCAGACCACCAAGAATCTCAACCTTGTTATCGATCATCTCAATCAGACTACCCATTTCAATCAACCCCTCTACTTCTCCCAAAAGACAACGGTCCTCCTGGACGACTCGCCCCTCAAAGCCGTTTTTCAACCGTGGAGCCAGATCGTCATTCCCGAATTCGATGAACAGGTGAATCTCACCAGTCGTTTAGCTGCAGGGATCAACCCTAAATCTGGAGCCACACCCGACCAGGAAACCGCTGGGGAGTCTCAAGAAGAGATGGACGAAGTGCTACTGGCTGTCATTGGAATTCTCGACGAGCTACGCTACGTCTCCAACGTTCCTTTCTGGGTGAGGTCTGGCGGGCTGGACCTTGCTCTCAATGTGGATGGTGTCGAAGAACCGACAGTTGAAACACTACCATCGCACGAGACGTTCGAACATTGGTACAAAGACAAGGAGCTTCATGCCAAGTGGGTGGAGAAGGGGAAGGAGGCGTTGAAGAGAAAGGGTATAGAGGTCAGACATGGATTAGTGGGGAATGCGGCGAGATCACCAGGCTCGCCGAGGGAGCCGCGCTCTCCCAGACTGCCATATCCTGAACCCCGCCCAATGCAATCCGACATCTCTTTATCCTCCGCGACGTCCGACATGCCGTTCGACAAGGAAGAGAGCGCTTTCGCGAGAAGAAAGAGGTTGGCCGAAGAGAGAGCTGCGAAAGAAGCTGCCGGTATCCCTCTGACACAGAAGGAGAAGAAGGAAGCCAAGAAAGCGCGATCCAAAGCGCACGTTCTAGTGGACGAGGCAGCTCAGAAGCCGAGACCGCCCCCAGCATCTCTTCCTCATAGGCCAGTTGCTAGCCAAAGGGAAAAGAGCCATGGGCGATCCAATCCACCTGTACGCGACGCAGCGTCCCAACATAGACACCCAGCACACCGTGAGCAGAACTGGAACCATCCTCCCAGACGTGACTATCACGCATACGACGACTCTCTCCGGAGACAGGGAGCGCTTCCTCCTCGTCCCCCTTCTCCAGCCCACGACTACCCAGAATCATATCGCCGAGAGAGGAATTGGTCGCCCTCTCACCAACATCATCTCCCACCACCCCCTGCTCCTTACCTTCCTCCACAAAGGCAAGGCGACTACAGACACGACGCGCGTGGATACCCTCCATCCGCCCCGCGGGCACCGGCAGAAGGGTACTACTTTGATCGACGCGAGTGGCGAGATCATCGACCGCTTGCTGCAGATGCTTCTCTGCCTGTGAGTTCGTGGCGTCCTGCGGGGAAGCAACAGCCGGCATTTGAGCCGAGGGAGGAACATTATCGCCCGCCAGTGTCGGGTCGTGACGCGAGAGGGTATGAGCGGTCAGGGTATCATGGGCGAGATGAAGATCGTTATCATGGAAGGCGATAGTGTATGACAAGGCACTCTGGCATTAGATGAGCATCACTCGTATGATAGCATCCGCATATATATGTACAGTACATCAGGCTTGTAATGTTTAAGAGCCCGGGGTATATACAAGCCTGTGCTCCCGTCCTACACGATTGAGATGCACGGAAACGTAGTGTTCATACATGAGCGGTGATGATAATAAGCTGATAACGGCCCTCTACTTCTTCAATGAGTCCTGCACCCACTTGCCCACAGCCTTCTTGTCCACCGCCGCCTTCCCATCGCCCAACTCTTCCCACAACGTCTGCAGCACTTTACCAGCCGCGCCCTTAGAAGACCGCACATCCTCTGGTAGCGCTTGGATAATCTTGGTCACAGCAGCCTGGACTGCTTCTTCAGAGGGGGCGGCGGGGAGGAATGAACGGATGAGGGCGATCTCTTTTGTGAGGGAGGCGTAGTTCTCGGGATGGGCGGAGGGTGAAGAGGGGGCATATGACTCTGCCGCTTGTGTCTATACGTCTGTGAGCTTTCAAACAATTTTGAGATGGAATGAAAGGGAAGTACGCGTTGAGTGAGACCTTTACGCAGGACAGAGATGATGCTTTCTTGCGTCGCAGGCTCGTTGGGATTAGGTCCGCTCTTGGCAGCGTTCGTCACATCAGCCAAGATAGACTAATTAATAGTCTCTTACATCAGCACAATCATCCGTTGACCTGTGGCAGTATGCATAGATGGCATAGAGCTGACCTTGAGGCATGCAGCGGCGGGCTTGTCCTTGGACTTCATAGCAGCCTTGAGGGCATTTCGGAGGGAGGCCTCGATGGTTTCTGTGGCGGAGAAGAGGCGGGGGGTGGTGTGGATAGAGCGGGTGAATGCGAGGCGGGCGAACATGCTGGGCAGTGAAAGAGGGGCGGCTTTACTACTTTGAGAACCAGTTGAGAAGATCAGCAGAGGAGATCTATTAGCCAAGAGCTGTAGCTGCAGTAAATCTGATCCCGCTGTACCTCAGTCATCGGCCGCCGGCAGGATTTACTTTATATACATAGTGGAATCGTTGGTGACTGATCTTGTGCAGCAGACTCTTTCGTCTTACAGTCTGTTGCCTTGAACAGCTTATGGAGACGATACTCTTTTACTTTGATCAGGGCGAAACGGGATATTGTGCACAGTGAGGGAGGACGAGGTATCGTGATTTTGTTTGGTTCATTTCCTTCCCGCGCAGAGTAGTGTCAGAATCAGGCTTATTCTGAAGTATCACGGGCCCCAGTACAGATGTTCTATACAGCATAAGAAAGATGGAGAGTCCATAGTCTGCTACGTAGGGCGATGTAGCAGCCCTTGTCCAATGCTTGCGACTCCCGTGACTCGTTCAACGTGGCGGATGTCTCCGCTGTGAGTTGGATTGTTGCACACTCACCCGCCGCCTTCTCCCGCCTTCGTCATCTCTGTTTCTTCTGTACAAATCACGATTCCAGGCAGTGTAGGTCATCCTCGTCGCATCAAAACAGTGCTGGCTGGGACCAGGTCTCAAACCATCTCCTGATCGCAATAACAACTCTTTTCTCAGCTCCACCTTCTTCACCCGCCCCCGACCTTCTCAGCTCAACCCTGATCTCGCCCCTCCAGCGTCTCACTCCTCCTATCTTCCCAGAATCTGCATCCGTATCACCGTCGCCGCGCATGCCCCCCTACGGACTCGGTAATAGCCCCACCTGGCGAGAGGTGTTTGAAAAGGTCGTCCCTCCGGCGCCAAACGATAAGCCGTCTGCCGGTTGCGAGGATAGTGATGCCAGAGAAGGGGATTTGGAAGCGATGGATGCTGCCAGAGTTTCTGTCAATGACATGAGAGCATGGGGCTTTACCTCTGTACACCTGCTATGGGAGGAAGGGCAATCAACTCAGAGATACGAGGCTAGAATCAACAAGAGTCTCGATATCGACTCGCTGGTCCAGGACATCGTTACGATCGGTCTGCCAGACCCCAAGAACCATCCCCACACCGACACTCAGGATTCGGTCCTCTCTGCTATGAGCGAAGGCATCAACAGAGTCGTCAACTCTGCTCTTAGGGAGATAATGCCGGCCGCTTCGCCTTTCTACTTTATATGGCTACCTGATGCAGCACTTGCCACCGGGCTGGGAAGGCTCAATCCTCGCCTCTACAAAGCGGAGAGGGAACTCGGAAAGGCCCTCATAGAGGCTGACAAACTCATCAAGATCCAGAACGATCCTCGCTTTCGAGTGATAGCAGCCTTGATCATGGGGGCTCTCGATGGCGAAGATGGCATTTGGCTCCGCGAAGATGCAGACAAGGGTATGACGTTAAGTGGAGAGTCTTGGGGAGAAGCCGGAGGGGACGACCCTAGAATGGAATGGGTGAGAATGCTTATCTGCCAGGCAAGTCGCCTTGCACATACTGCCGGGGGAATCTCGCTAACTTTTGGTGTAGTGTATCAACGAGCTGATCACTCGCCAGTCCCAAGAGATCCTTCTCACGAGCTACTCGTTGGGTTTCGTCATGAGAATCGACCAAAAACTCCCCTTGACCGATGGTAACGCCTCTCTTCAGCTTAAAGTCTCCCCCATGGTCGGCAATCAGGGTCGAGTCATTGGCTTCCAAGCTGATGGTCAAGACTTCAAGCCTCAGTATGACGTCGCCTCCTCCTCCCGTCGCTTGACCGATAGGCTGTTGGGCCTCAAATGCGGGTTCAGTCTTCCTTCTTCAACTGACGAGGACCGAGGCGCAGGGGAGTCCAGACCAAAGCGGAAGAGAGAGAAGCAATCCAGTACTTCTTCTCCTCCTCCCGCTCGAGAGAGTGTGAGGATTAGTGAGAAGAATAATGACGGCAAGCGGAAGAAGCACTCATGAATTTCCAACTCCTCTGCAATAGATCATGTAGCACAATGTACAATATGCACTATCGTAGGCTCATGGATTCGCGAGCATCCATATGTCCTCATGGAGTTGAAAGGGCGTCTTCTTCTTCTTTCAACACCTTGCAGAAATTGTGGGGAGTCTCGCCCCCATACTCCATGAGCATGATCCAGATCTCTCCCAGCATCCCACTGACTCTTCGCCAGGATAGCACCTCCCAACGATCCATAACACCCGGGCACCGCCGATCCCTGCAAGTGCTGAAGACGGGTGGCATATAGTACAGGTTGCATACTCGTCCCGAAGGTGCGGCCGGCCGCCCGCTATACTTTGGATCTCCAACGAACATACATACTCGTACTGGATCACTACTGAATTTCGCCGCCACATCCACCCGTCTCCACTCCTGACTCCCTTTTCGCTCGCCCTTTCAAACTCTCGACGACACCTTCAGCAACGACAAACTCTTCGCTCTGGGAGACGCGCCTCGCTTCCATCTCACGCTGAAACTCCGTCTCCTTCTGCATTGCATTTTCCAACTCCTTCTCAATGTTATCTCCTAGGCGATGCAACTCCTTTGGCGACATTGCTCTTCTCTCCTCTGCTGAAGGTACATTGATTCTGTCGGATAACACCCACATTCCGGGAGGGTCAGGGTATGTCTTCCCAGATCCAACTCGTTCGCCGATGCCCTGCTGGCTTCTGGCGAGCGATTGAGACATCGCCGTCATCGTCGCAAACGTGACTGTCTGGTCTTCCAGCAGTCTATGTGCAATCTTCCGATACCTGTCTTCTTTACGTTGACCGTCCCATCGCTGAAGGACTATATCAGCTCATCTTCTTGTGGCGAAGGTAGTGGCACTTCTCAAACGAGACTAGAAGAACTCATTTCGGCTGCTCACCTTCTCAAACTTGTCAAACGCCTCCCGCAGATCTTCCCTGGCCTCTCTTGCTTTCACTTGCCGGATTTCGCGGTCCCGAGCCCCTCTCCACCTCTTTCCTGGGCCGATGAGGTCGAGATCACTCTCAATGAGCATTAGAGAGCTGGAATGTATCGTCAGTGTTTGTGTGGTATTGAAGAACAGACGAGATTCTCACACCCGGAATTGATCGAGAAACGACGAATCCAGAGGCGTGCTCTCCTCGAGATTTAGTGACATGAGCGACTTGTGGGCTCCGAGCCTGATGATCATACTTCCACATGCACTGCTCTGTAAATGATCTTAGCGATAAGCGTCGATGTTGTGTTGCTTCGATAATCCACTAGACGCGATAAACGTACGGAGCAAATACTTGTTGAAGAAGTTGTCTCCAATGGCTTGAGACGCCTGTCCAGGCGTTTGATACGTGCGACAATATCATCCGAATATGACTCGACTTTAATCCTCTCATTGTCTCGAGCAATCGGTGGCGGGACAGTGGCCATCGGGGGTGAGGCAGCCGAACCGCCGTTGCTGTTGGAGTTTGTGGCGGGGCGAGACGGGTTCATACTTGCTTTCGAGTGACAACTGAGTGGCAAAGTTGGTCGGGACGAGCGACTCCAAGAGTCATCTCATTACATATTGTGATGCATCACCCATTACACGTGTGAATCGCGAGGAGTGACCATGTAGCAAGGCGCGCAAGGTTGCCGTTGATCGACAAGTTGTTAGCAGCAGCAACATTTATCGCGGCTCGGCGTGGGGCAGCCTTATATAGGGCCTACCGCTCTGGCATCACAATCAGCACTTTCACATGCATGGTACTGTGCTCGAGTACTCTACATCAACATCAACATCACATTTGCTATATACAATCTGACAAGCTGACGTTCTCGGATCTCGTTATCCTCCCCTAGTACTACCACATGAGCCACCCCGTCTTCACCGCCTTCTTCTTTTCAGCTTCCTCTCTCATCAGTTTGGCCAATGCATCAGCTTCCATGAACTGCTTGTTCAAGAACGATCGCCTTCTCTCATTTTTTCTTTCAAGACCCTTTCTTTGGTCGACGTCGTCTTCGCCTCATCATCCAGCTTGTCTGCCTGAAGAAGCAGCTCATCTGGCGACATCTTCTGCCTCTCTTCTTCCGGCGGTGCAAAAGTGCTATCGTTCAGGGACCATGGTTTGGGGAGACGGATCTCGTCGGAGGAGTATTGAAGTCCCTGGTCTGTCACAATGACTCGGTACAGCTCTGCGACCTGTGTTGCCACATGACTATCCCTCTCATCCCGTTGCTCGGCTAGTACCCTATTCTGATTGAAGTGTTGGATTTGTGACATTTGGAGCTTCATTGATACATAGTGGCGGCGCATCATCTCCCAGCGCTAAGGAATCAAACATGATGATGAACAACATCACGTCAGCAACCAGGTTCTTTGTTTTCACTATACCGGTGGGGTTTTGAGACCAAAGATTATGTGTGTGACTCACATCATACTCATCGAATGCGTGTCGCATACCCTCTCTGGCCTCTTTGGCCATCTTGAGGTGCATTCGAGAGTTTGCGCTTGTCATCACTTTCTGCCTCAATGAAGAGCTGCTTGTCGCGTGCTGCTGCTGCTGAATGCTTTCCACAATTCCATTGAGATCTCTATAGAAGTGTCAGCGCTGGTATACAGTATGCACATCAGACACGCCTACTTCGCAAGCTGTAAGAGATGTGAAATGCTGTAAATGATGTCTAGGTTCGACGAAAGTTCAGGTTCTAAATGGTCGTCCTCTGCGAGGCGCGTCATCTCGTCCGCTCTGTGCCTGCAGTCTGCGCTCTAGTGAGACATAAGCTCACTTCTTGAGACCAGGCCGCAGAGGTCCAGAAAGGAAGACCTACAGTGAAGATAGAGGTATCCGAGGAAGGAGTGTCCAAGCGTTTGAGTCGATCCTGCAAACGCAAGATAGTATCCACGATGCTGTGAACAAGTAGACCCCGGAGCAGCCTTTCTCCATGGGCAGTCTCGGCTGGTTCCAAAGGAGATACGGGTGGGGAGACTGGGGGGGTAGGAGAAGCAGCCGCGTCGTCGTGTGCCACGGCATTGGACGGAGAATCAGCAGGAGTGGAGACGTTGGCCATTGTGCTTTCTGCTTTCAGCGAGGGAGGCATAAGGTGACGGTGGCGGGTGGCAATATTTGACTGTTCATAGCAGGCAACAAGGATAATATATATGATGGTAAGCGCCTGATGACGGCACGAGGATGGAGCGAGGCGGCTCGACGTTAGCAGCGACACCCTGCGCCTCTGTTCTGTGGTGAAAGCAAATTATTGGCCACATCGATGCAGATTCTGCCATTTTTCCCGTGGATATGGCGACATAAGCAGCGATATCGTCAATTCACAGTCATATACAAGCATGTCAACAAATGCATCAATCATTCATAATACGTCATCAACAACAACGTCGCTAGCTTCGAAATCATAAGTAGCCAACTGTAACGCCCAGTTTCTCATCAGCCGACGAGTGTGGTCGCCCGTCCCTAGTCAGAAACGACACTCAGCGACTACTTCCACTTCCCGATCCTTTTTGCCTCAAAGTCGAGGACGACGAAGATGCCCCTCTCTCCTCGTCTTCTTCTAAGACTTGCAAGATGTCCTTTGCCGCCATCATGACGGTAGTCCTGGTGAGGTAGCAAGCCTTGTTGAAAGCCTCTAGATCAGCAGCAGTCATCTCTGAGGAGTCAACTTCTGCTTGGGTAAGCTGGATACTTGGTTCAGTGCTAGTAGACCTCACGAAACAAGAATATGATGTTCAACCCACGGTAACCGCTCCTGGAAGGGAGTCTCGAGCCGTCGCCTTGATTTCCTTCCACAGTGCAATATCCGTGTACAGCCTGTCCTCAAGAATCTCCCGCTCTTCGTTGTGAGCAGCAGCAGAAGCGATGTCTGCATCAATCTTGGCCTGCAAGTCGGCACTGACGTCGGAGAGATTGCTACTCGCAGCTCATGAGCTGATTCACGTAGCAAGATGTCAGCCAACGCCTACCTGTAGAGTACCTTCAGTGCCCAGATAGCCCTTTCAGTGTAAGCTTTGTCGTGAATCTTGAGAAGATGCTCTTTCTTCGCAGCTTCAATTTTCGAGATCTTGCCTGGAAATGGTTCCTCCTATAGTGAGCCACAGCGTCAGCAACAGAACAGCCTTGTAGCTAGAGGGAACTCACAGTCTCGTCTGCACCGTCCACTGCTAGAAGAGTTTGACATTGCTTGTTCAAATGGACAAGAAGCGCAATGACTGCATCACAAAGTCGAGTTACCTCCTCCACTGGACTTTTGGGGTTCTTTTGCTTCTCGGCGAGATGACCATCCAAGTCGTCCAGACAGGCAACGAGAGGCAAGTCGACAGAGCAATGACTCGCAGGGCTGGAGGGTGGAGCTACACCGCCACTGAGAAAAGGCGACGGTTGGGCAGACTGGGGGAGATCGTTGTTGACGGAAGGCATTGTGTTCTGTTTCGTGACGGGGTGGCGACGCGTAAAATCTCCAGTGGGCGCAGTATAGGTTGGATGAAGCGATGATCCAGGCCAGTATAGACTGTGACGCATTTATAGTCTTCCTTGTGGGGATGATGATTCTCAATGACGGTCTTTCAACAAGAAGCAGAGTACGCGGGAAGCCACTCACTGCATCGCGGGGACTCTGGCCTTTCGTATAGTAGCTGCCTCGTGGGACAACGCCAAAGAGCCCAAAGGAGAAGCTTCGCCACATGTTTGCAGACATTAACTCGCCCGCAAGAGCGGCCGGATCCAGCAACTGTCAATGCCCGCCACCATCTCTTACAATCTCCGAAAGTGACAACCGGTGTAGTGCCTCGGAGCGACCACAATGGGCCGGGTTCAAGTCGTCGGTCTTCCGGTTTGCAGAGTACGCGAGCATACAAGGTTCAATGATTGACAGCTGTCTTCATTTGATAACTCGATACGCAAATGACCAGTGTAACATTGGTCGGGAAACGTGTGTACAAAGCGTATGTTCATGACCGCTCCAAGGCGCGATGCATGGAATACCCCGTGGCAAACTTCTGATCATCCGGCGCGACCCTGCGTGTAAAGGTGATGACCAACCAGAAAACACCTGTATTCGCATGCCGGTCTCGTTGCTTGTCAAGCAAGGCGCTGCCTCAGGCAGCTTGATGTAACGCCTGCCACTGAGCGTCAATTTGCCACCGGGAATCTGCAACGCTCAACATAAAAGAACTCCAACAATTATCATCGCGTCAACGCCTATACTCTCCGAAACCATGTATCCCAATCCCGAACGCACACACCACCTCACATCCCCCTTCACCCCCACCCCCCTCACCCTCCCACCCAACACCCCGGGATACCCCTTCTCTTCTCCCGGTCTTCTAATCTGGGACCTCCAAGAAATCGCCGCCAACAACTGCGCAGAAGCCATCAAGCAGTTCAACAATACCCACTACAAGGCTCTGCTCTTTGGTTCGGGCGGGCGCGGCTGGGGCAAGGTTGGTGCTGGAGGAGGGGCAGGCAAGACGAAGGAAGAGTCGCAGGAAGAGCTTCTGCTGCTCTTGTCCAAGCATGTCAATGCTCTGGGTCATAGTGCGGCGCGCAACGGGGTCGGAATGTCGTGTGTCTGCTGGATCGTAAGTCTTTTCACTGCGCGGGTGTAACAAAGACTCACCTTAATGCCAGACCGAGCTCTATGCATATATCGCTGAGATCCTCTGCGGATCCGTCAATCTCTACCTCGCCCCCGGATCTCCCTTACCACAATTCATCCTCGTCCGCCTCGCCGAGCTCGTCCAGTAAGTATCTCCACTCCCATGTCCGTGGGGCGTTTGCTGATGGCCACGACAGCGAGGGAGAAGCTATCCTGAATGGGCTTGAGGAGATCAACTTTGCAGCCCTGAAACCTCGAGGACTCGACGAGGACTGGAAAGCGGTCGATATCGAGCCAAAGCTCGTGTACCTCATCAGGAAACTGGGAAGCTTGGCTCATCACTGGGGCGTGAGTTCAATTTATCATTACCTCACAGCCCCAAAGCTGATACAGTCCGCCTCTGAACAGTCATCCCAGCCGCCTAAAGAAGACGACGTCCTCTACGCGTGGGAGGTCGAGATCACCGGTCGATGGGACTCTGAGACCGACTATGCGCATACGCAGCAGAAGGACTTGATCGCGCAGGAAGAGGCCGAGAAGAAGGAGCGAGAGGCGAAAGAAGCGGAGGAGAAGAGAGAACGCGAGGCGAAAGAGGCGGAGAACAAGAGGGAGCAAGAGGCGAAAAAAGCGCAGGACAAACAGGAACGGGAGGGGCAAGAAGCAGAGAAGAAGAAAGAGACTGAGGCGGCGGAGGCGGAAGAGAGAGAGAGGGCGGAGGAGCATGAGGCCGTCGACGCGGAAGAAGCAGAGAGGAGGAGGCAAGCGTCGTTGAAGACACAAGTCAGAGACGAGCCAGTCGTAGCCGAGGGGAGTGGGTCAGGATCGGCTGCGCCAGCACAAGTGACCAAGCCACATGTTGTAGCGAAACCTCACCACTTGTCTTCGTCAGCGGCAGCAGGAGTCAAAAAGCAGAAGAGTGACGCGTCTTCGCAGAGGAAGAAGGGCACTAAGGCGAAGAAGGAGGTCGGGTCTGCGTGCTGTTGTCAGTGATCGGGTTCGCAGTGTTCCATACTCTTGAATAATTGATGCTGGTGATTGTGAAGCCGAGCAATGGTATCGTAATGATGCTGTACAGTTCCTTGCGAACTGGCTGCCGATCAGTGGCAAATGACAATGATACATTACCCTAGAGGTTCACACTATATCTCCTCAACTCGCTCATCCCTTCGAAGCAAATTGACCCCTAAACCTAAACTGACTCTGACTCTGACTCGGCGCCAAGCTCGAGCTCGCCGCCCGCGACAGCCCACTACTCTGCCTATGCACCACCCCGGGCCGTTCCGGTCTCTGAAACTGCGACGCTTGATGTGGCGATTGGCTCGTCAGGCCTTGCTGCCCTTGGAATTGACTTTGGAAAGCGGATGGCGGATTGAGGTGGGATTGGGAGTGGGATTGAGAAGGATGTATTTGTGGGCGCCTGCCGCTGCCTGTGGGTGTATGAAGGACGGCGGGGAAGAATGGGTTACCGCCCTGCCTCAACTGATGCGTCCCCGGCGTATGCGGGAACGTCCCCGGCGTATGCGGGAACGTCCCCGGCGGCTGTATGAGGGGTGTCCCAGGACCAAAGGCTGATGTCGTAGTACCATACTGCTCTGGTTCTTGTACCAGATTCTCTTCCCTGAGCTCGAGAAGCGGTGAGGTGGAAGGCATAAAGTCTTCAACCATCCGCTTCATCCCTTCCCCAACAGCTTCCTTCATAGCACCCACCGCCCCTTCACCCAGATCTTCCAAAAGCTGCCCCGCCCCTTCATCCCCATCCACCCCTTGCTCCTCCTCCTCGTTACTGCCACTCCCAGCAAGCACCTTTGGCAGCCCCACCGAGATATAATTCGGACTGACAAACTTGTCATGGACCAAGCTGCGCAAGCGGGAGACGATGAGTTGTTCGAGTTTGGGGATGTCTTGGAGTTTGGCGCGGGAGCCGAGGAGGGAGGTGGTTTTGAGGTGGAGGTGAAAGTCTGGGAGGAGGGAGGTGTGGAGGTGTTGCTGGTCGCCTGTGGGGTCGTGGAGTTGGACTGACATCTACATGATGGTCAGCTAGTATCCTTTGTGCAGAGTCGGGACGTACAGTTCCACCTATCGAGACAAGTTCGACACCGAGAGACACGGGGAGGACAGCAAACCGAGGTCGCGGAAAGTTGATAAGGACGGCGGTGGACAGAGACATGCTCATTGAATCAAGATAATCGACGTCCACTTCTGCACGCTAAAGCCCGATGTATATTAGCCACAGCTTCAAGTCGCTTGGTATCGACTTGCCAATCTCCCATGTCCATCCGCAGGCCGTATTCTCGCATTCGACAATAACGGAAACGAACTTCCCAACGAAATCTTGGTCACCTCGATCGGATCCAACCAACTCAACTGCTTTCCTTTCGGGTTCAACCACCTCTCTACCCTCAGCCTTGCACCTTCCTCCCCTCCATCCGACAATAAATCATTGCGATACCCCTGGACAACCTGTCCCAGGAGCACGTTGAGCCAGTCCGCCGACTCGGGGGCATGCACCGACATGTCGTACTTTGTCTTTGACAACAACGAAGCCGGCGGCGGCGGGGTATGGCTCGACGTCGAAGCCTTGATAGCTGCGGCAGAAGAGGCATGTCGTTCGAGGCGCCGTTTGCGCCAGGCATCGTGGTCTACCTGGTCTGAGGGGGAGAAGACGATGTAGCGGACAAAGAGGAGGAGGATGAGGAGGAAGGAGGCCTGGCCGAAGATGAAGCCCTGGGTGAATGTCCAGTTGCTGAGCGGGTCCATCATTCACGGTCAGCACATGCTTTTGTTTAAAGTCGTTGTATTCCGCTTGAGGATGTCAGATATCGTCAAAAGAGTCGGAGGCTCGATTACGTAGAGCGGGGGTTGCCGCCCTTTGTTGTTGCTGTTGTCGGTGAGAGCTGATTAGATGGGAGTCATCCTGCTCGGGAATTCGATAAGATGACCATGCTATGTATGTAGTGCATCTCGAGAGGTCTTTCGTTGAAATCACGTCCTCGAATCGTGGCTTCTTACGGTCGACTTTCCAGAGCTAGATCCTCTGTTACTGTGACTCAACCTTGCATTAACACTGTCAGATAATTTTGACATTATTGATGGCACTCTAGAAACGACAACGATAGTAAAGAGGAGGAGTGATTGAGTCTATACTGGACTGATATGAGGATGTTCCAGAAGCAGGTGTTTTCAGTCAGCCCAGAAAGCTTGCTCACTGCTACAGGTATTACGAAAACGGCCCGGGAAAGAAGGTCCAGATATTCATGTATTTCCACTCATACGTCTCTTGTGAATGAAAGTGCACGGTCACCCAACTGTCACAAGGTATAGGTCAAGCAGGAGTCGAGGTCGAATCTCGCCTCGCTCGACTGAGCATCACCTGGTTCAGACTGCCCTGGAGCCGGTGGTGCGGATGTGCTGACTGCTCGCTGTTGTAGCTGGAGTCGTAGAGCGCGGGATGAAGGTTGCCTTTGCTAACAAGGAAGCGTTGTTCATTCTCTTGTGATCGGGGGATATAGTTTGAAGTCCAAGGTGCTCCCGGCTTTAGATTCTTGTGCGGGTTCCATCAACGACCAGAGACAGATTTCAAGCTGGTAGATCTGCAATATATGAGTAATAATACCGCCTATCACTGTCAGCCTCCAAAGACGCCTGACAGTCGCCAATGCTCCGATGCTCGCTCCCGTAATATTCAAGATATCAAGTGGTATACAGGATGCATAATCCCCAACGTCCAAAACTATCCAAATTACTTCTTGGCAGCCTTGACGCTAAGGTCCTCAACCTTGAGTCCTTCAATACACATCAGCACTCATTCATTACACAAAGACTAGCAGACGTACCAGGAGGCAAAGACTGCCTGAGCTTCTCGGCCTTCTCAGCATCGTCAAGAACAAGGGTGTAGAGGTACTTGGAGCATCGGATCTTGAACTTGGTGACGTGGGTGGGGGTCTTGGCGGCCTTGGCCTTGGACTGGGCGACGGTGGCAGAAGGCTTGATGGCAGTCTTCTTGATCCTGGCGACTGGAAACTTGTTAGATTCGAGTCGAGGTAGAGAGGGAGGAAAAAGGGGACGTACGGGTCGCGTCCTTTCTGCGGGCGATCTCGAGGAACTTCTTGATGTCACGGACTTGCTGGGGCTAGAGGGGGCGTTAGTGGACAGTTTGAAGAGACACATGCGGCATGGCAGGCAGGCAGAGCAGCATTTCGAGGAATTTCGATATTTTGGCGATGTTTCGTGGGAGGAGTTTGGGGTCGATGGGGAAAGTAGATAGTGGGTGTGGTTGGCGCTCCTGTATCCTCTCGCTCGTCTGCTTCTCCCAATCACTCCCATCCAATCCCACCCAACTTCATATTCCACCTCCCCGCTCCCTCCAGACAATCCCTCATATCCACTCAATTTCGCCCAGGAAAGTCGGTGTCGTGGCCGTTCTCGATGTGTGCGATGCTGCCCTGCTCTGCGCCCGCCTGCAGTTCTCCAAGACTCACCATTTTGACCTGTAACCTTTTGCTTGAGGGTTGGCTGACAGCAGGAATAATTGGAAGCAGTAGTGCGCGGGGCATGCCGGCGATATCCCTCGTGGCGCGGGTGCTCCAAACTGCGCGTGTCTGTCGGCGGTAATATTTGCTCCCGTTATCACCTCTTCCTCTCTCTTTCGCCCGTCCATTCTTTCCTTGTACATCAACCCAACCACATATCAAAAATGGTGCGCATCCCTTCCCACAAGGGGGCATCACGCCAGAGCAGCTAGACACCCACCACACACGAGACTCACATCTCCACAAGGCAGCCCGGCGAGCAGAGCACAGCTCACGCGATGACCCTCGCGACTACGCCTGAACACCCCTGGGTGATTCGACCTTGCGTCCTAGTACCCCGCCTTCCAGCGGGCGAACGGGCAAGGGGAAGAATCTCTAGAGCTCTGAAGTGATGCCTCGAATATAAAGAGGTTCATCGCTGACGTCTCAATGACCCCACTTTTATAGGCTCCCACCAAGTCCGGCAAGAAGGTCGCTTCCGTCCCCCACGGTACTAAGAAGGCCGCCAAGAAGGTCGTCAACCCCATCTTCGAGAAGAAGTCCAAGACTTTCGGTATTGGTGAGTTTTGCGCTACTTGATGTTTGGAGAAAAAAAATGCTGACGCAACTCAGGTGGTGACCTCCCCCCCAAGAGGGACTTGACCCGATTCGTCAAGTGGCCCGAGTACGTCAGGCTCCAGAGGCAAAAGGTTATCCTTAACCAGCGTCTCAAGGTGTGTCCATTCTCTACCTGGTATGACCATATCTAACTCGTATATAGGTCCCCCCTGCCATCGCCCAGTTCTCCAACACCCTCGACAAGAACACCGCCACCCAGCTCTTCCAGCTCCTCAACAAGTACAAGCCCGAGTCCACCCAGGAGAAGAAGGCTCGTCTCTTGTCCGAGGCCGAGGCCCGTGAGAAGAAAGGTGACAAGGCCACCACCACCGACTCCAAGAAGCCCATCTTTGCCAAGTACGGTCTCAACCACGTTGTCGCCCTCGTCGAGGCCAAGAAGGCCCAGCTCGTCGTCATTGCCGACGATGTTGACCCCATCGAGCTCGTCGTCTTCCTCCCCGCTCTCTGCAGGAAGATGGGTGTCCCTTACGTTATCGTCAAGGGCAAGGCCAGGCTCGGTCTGATCACCGGCAAGAAGACTGCCGCTACCGTTGCCATCACCGAGGTCAGGTCCGAGGACCAGCAGGCTCTTGCTACCCTCGTCTCTGCCGCCAAGGCCAACTACCTCGACAAGTACGAGGAGTCCAGGAAGCACTGGGGTGGTGGTGTCCGAGGCAACAAGTCGTGCGTACTTTTTTGTCTCTCTTGGAACTCTTGCTGACTGTGTCTAGTATCAACAAGCTCCAGAAGCGAGCTAAGGCTCTCGGCCAGGACGCCAAGAAGATCGACCTCTCTCTTTAAGAGCCGTCTTTCGGGTGTTTTTGGGTTGTTGTCTAGATTTTTTTCTTTTTCTCGCTTAGGCACTACATGATGTATGATGGTGGCTACTCGCTGCATATTGTAATTCGTACCTCCCCAACGATCTCTGCATTCTCCTGTCCACGCTGCAAGGCCTATCTGTCCAAAAGCACTCGAGATAAGACGTGTAGAGTGTGAGCCAATGAAAGTGCCACAAAAAGTCAACTAGATTGAGCGCGGGAAAGGCGGCTCGTGCCACGTCGAGAAATATCCCCAAACGCGACTTCTCTTACCTCCCCCGCCCATCTCACATCCCAAGCCATGTCCACCCCCCCCCCGACCAAGTCCCCGCCGAAGGAGTCGAAGGAGCCGGCGCCCCCGTGGAAGAGAAGAAGCTTTACACCCTCGAGACCCTCGCCGAGCACAATGACCGCGAGAGTCTGTGGATGTTGTTGCACGACAAGGTGTATGACATTACGGCGTTTATGGATGAGGTATGTGCTGCTCTGTTCTCTGATTTGGAGTGTATGGCAGCTTTCGCGGGGAGAGGTTGGGGCTGGGAGGGGGAGTGGTGGTTGGTTTGGGGAGCGAAGGGTGAAGCGATCGAAAGATGACCGAGGCTGACCGTCCTTCGATAGCACCCTGGTGGCGATGAAGTACTCATCGAAGAAGCTGGTACGCCTTTCCCATCTCTACGTGCTCATACGTGCTGGGAGTCATAACTAATGTGCATATGACAGGACGCGACGCGACAGAAGCGTTTGAAGATGTCGGCCACTCTGATGAAGCCCGGGAGATGCTGGTGAAGATGTACTTGGGAGAGTTCCAGGGCGAGGTATGTCTTGCTCTTATCTACATGGGGCTCTGTTGTGGGCTTGGGGTGGGGAGGGCGGGAAGGGGGCTGGCTAGAGATCGTTTTCGGCAAGAGTCGAAACATTCCCATATGGTTGAATCCTTCCTCCTGTTCCCTTCCTTCAGCTACGCCTATCTGGCACGAGACCATTCTCTGTCCCAACTCCTCTGAATGTGACGTCCCAAAAAGACCACAAGCTGACACCGTCTCGCAGAAGAAGGGCAAGTCAAAGGGATCTGCCGCTGGTACTTCTACAGACTCGTCAGAGGGCACGTAAGTCTACTTTCCCGTCTCTTCCTCAGATATGATGATCGTCAATCGACTCTTGAGGTTTGGTCGAGACTATAAGCTGACGGAATATGCCCCGTAGATTCCCCATGTGGACTCTTCCCCTTGCGGCTTTCATCGCTTTCCTCGCTTGGCGAATCTTCCTCGCCTAGACATACCAACCCCTGCCATTCCAGGCTCTATTCGACAACCTTATAGTACTCCTCATCATTCTCCAGATTCGACCATCCATCATTCGACTTCACCCCTCCTCCTATCATCGGGAAAAGAGATAGATCAGCATTTTCCCCCATCTGTATACACTTTCACCGTTTGTTTTCCTCTTGTTTACAGCTTTCTTTCGATGGTATTTAGGATGGCAATAGGAAGATGGCTATCTCTATGCCTGTTCATTTTCCAATGCATGGGTTACATATATACAATGATACGACGGCCGCGTTCAGATGTCCATCTGTCATTACAAAATCTCCCCTGCTTCTATATATCTGACCCACTCAAGGCCCACCTCGCGCCCAAACACCCTGCAAAGCAGCTCCAGTCGTACTCCCCCATCCCTGCCCACCCGCAGCGCCCAACCCCCCATGTTCCAGCGCAAAAACAAGGTCTGTCAACGTCAACGCTTTATCGCCTTCCACCTGCCTTGACGATCCCGCCCCTTGCCCCGAGGCTTGCTGTGATTGCAAAGGGGTGGAAGAGTAGGGATTGTGTGATTGGCCTGGGGTCGGCGGGGGGGCGAGTACGTTTACCATGCGCCTGACGGGTATGGGGATGCCTCTCGGTTTCTTGGCTTTACGCCCTTCTTCCTCATCCTTGTCAACCTCCGCCGCACCCCCAGTCATGCCCAATTTACTCTTTCCCTTGCCCTTCTCCGCACCTCCAGCAGCACCCTCGGCTTTCCGTTTCTTGCCTGCCAAAGGCGAACTGACAGACGGCGCATTCCCCATCATCCAATTATACTTTTTGCCCACGCCTGCTGAGCGCATAGCTGTCAAGTTTGTCATCTTGTGCTGCACCTCGGCTGAAAGATCGCGCGAGGAGCCAGAGCCGGAAGCGGGGGTAGAGGCGGAGGGTGTAGATTTCTTTGAGGGCTTCTTTTTCGTACCCGAGGCAGTTGGTGTGCCGGGAGCAGGAGTGCTAGGCAAAGACCCAGAACCCTGTGCTGGCGATCCATCTCCACTCCCCGCCACATTGCCGTCTACACCACTCGGAGTAGCAAGCCCATTATCCCTCGCATAAGCCTCTGCCCGCTCTCTCCTCTCCCTCGCCTTTTGCAACTCTGCATCCCGCGCCAGCCGGTCCATACGCTGTTTGCGAAACTCTTGTTCCGCATCTCTATTCTGCCTGTTGAGCGCGTCGAGGACGGCAGCAGGGTGCGAGGTGAGAGAGTGGGACCAGAGGGGTTTGGGCGGGGCGGATGGCGGGGCGGATTTTGAGGGGGGTTCGGAGAGGGGAGGGGGGTGAAGATGTGATGAAGATGTTCGGTGGATTTGGGCGGTGCGGGTGAGCTCTAAGAGTGACTGCAGGGAAGACTCTATGGCGCTCGTCAAGTAGAGCGTAGCGTCGTCGTCAAACTTGACTCCATGGTTCTTTGCTGCATTCTACGTCAGCAAGAGCTCGAACCGTAGGATGCAGACGTACAGATGGCATCGGCCTTTTGCCGCAGGAATGCCCGTCCTACGATCTCGCTGACTTTGGCACGGGATGTGGATGCAGAGCCAGCAGTTGGAAGAACCCGGCCGACGTTGAGCCTACGGGCCGCGTCTTCTTCGGCCTTCCAATACTATCAGCATCCGCCTAGTACCGTCTCTGGGCGACTCACACGAAGGTCGAAGGACTGGGTATTGCTGGACATGGATATATGGATGCAGCCGAGAGAGTGAGATTGCGAAGGGTGGCGCGTAATGCTGTTTGTTCCCGGGGCTAATCCATTTTGATCCCGCTAATCGCCGGGCTACAACGCTCCGCCATTCCGCTGTCGAGTCCATCTCTAATCTGTACTCTTTCTAACCACCATGGAGGATATAATAGCCACCCTCATCATAGTGACTGCTGTCTACTTTGCCATACGATGGCTCATCGGGGGCAGTAAGTCCCTGCGCCAGGGTCCATGGGGAGCGTCGCTGATCCCGAGCTCTAGAATCGAGTGGCACCGCCGAAGGTGGTATCAGAGGGGTCACCCCCGACATGGTACGTCTTACTACTCTTCAGTAGTGGGCTCAGAGCTGATATGGATATGGTGTGCGCAGGTGGAAACAGTGCACAGCGCATTCCCAGACATTCCTGTACCTAATATCATCTATCATCTGTCGCGCACCAAGAGTGCTCAGTCGACTTCGGAGGAGATCTTGGAGAGAGGATTCTTGGCCGCTGTGAGTGAACCCGCCATTGGAAACCCGACGAATGAGAGGAGGGGGATGAAAGGGGCGGGAGACGAACAATCTTGAAGAGTCGTGTCGATGTCGTGTGCTGACGCTTATCGGGTAGCCTCCTCCTACATTCAATATCCCTGCCTCCCTCCTTCCCACCACCACCCCTCCTGCCCAAGTTCCCACTACTGCTCAACCTCAGAATACAAAGACTGCATCGGCCATCAAGGCTCAAAGTCTTATCGACCGATACAACCTTTCTTCCAGAGTGCCATCATTGAAAGGAAAGGAGAAGGCTGTCGACGAGAATCAACCGGCAGAAACCAGTGCAAACGCTGCTTCAAAATGGGAGGATTCCAAGGAAAAGAGAGAGATGGGACTGAAAGAGAGAAAGGAAAAGATGATCCTTGAAGCGAGAAGACGAATGCTAGAGAAGCAGGCAAAGGAGAAGGAAGGTGTGGCCGTATAGAGTGACTTTTGGCTTCTTGATGCTGAGTCTTTGATTATTTCTTGTATGCATCTATGACTTTTCAGCCTTTATCCTATTCAAATACATTGATCCAGCTCTTCCTCCGCGACCCCCATAAGCTTGTTCATCTGCCGCAGCCTCGGTCCAAGGGAGATGACCACTTCATCCTCGACATTGGCCACTGCAAACCTCAGCCACCTATCCTTTCTCACCACCTCTCCCCCTACCACTTCATCCCAAGCCTCATCATCTGCGACAGCAGGCATGAAGAAGCTTCCCGGGAGAGTCACCACCCCACATTTGGTCGCCAAGATCCTAGCCACATCTTCACTTCCCAACCTCTTCCTCTTCGGCCCCAAAACGCTCGAGGCGTGGATATACTCTTGAGGGAACTGGCCGTAAGCGAAGAAGCCACCAGAAGCGATGACAGACCAGCCGGGGACGGCTTCGACTGTGGAGTAGAATAGGCGGCGGCGGTGGGCTAGTTGACTTGATGAGGAGAGAAGGTCGGGGCGGAGGGAGGGCAGGAGTGGGGCCAGTGCCAGCTGGGGTGGACGCGGGGCGCAGATCTATTTCACTGTTAGCGGTCATGGGAGGCAGGGCGTGGATATGTGCATACCTGCATACAGTCACAGATCGTTGTGACGTGCTTCAAAAGCTCAGGGCTAGCAGTGATCGTACCCAGCCTATGACCAGGGATCCTGTAGCCCTCTGTACTATGTTAGCTCCACCGTGAGAGCTTATATGTGCACTCACTGCTGAAACTGCCCAGAGAAACCAGGGTTCCTCTCCAGTCTGGCTCCTCAAACAGCGCATGCGGCTGACCCCTCTTGCCCTGGTCTCCTCCATCCTCAACAAAGTCCCTATACGTCTCATCCAGGACGAGAGCAAGGTGATATTCCTTGGCAAGCTCGTACCATTCCTTGATCTCTTGATGCGTGTACACCGTTCCCGTGGGATTGTTCGGCGAGACAAGCACAATCATCCTAGCCTGCCTCTCTCTTCCTGTCTCCTTCTTGACACCTTCTAGATGCTCTCTTGCCTTGTTCAAAGAAGCTTTGAACTTGTTCTCGGGGTCACAAGGGATATACACCGGCTTGACGTCTTGTAGAGAGAGCGACATGGCTTGATTAAAGTACGCCGGGAGCGGGAGCAGCACTTCCGACTTGCCAGGTGGACATAGCGTCATCAGCAAGCTCAAAAAGGCCATATTGCACCCCGTCACCACGCCGATATCTTCTGCTTGCACTTGATCTCCATTTTCTGGTAGACGATAGAGCACCCGGGTTTCAAAGGCCAAGGCTTCGCGCAGGGCGGGTTCGCCCAAGATAGGACCGTATCGCGCTGCTTGGGGATCACTGGATGCTTGTTTGAGCGACTCGAGGACAGACGAGTGCGGTGCAGCTCGAGGTACGCCCTGAGACAGATCGAGCAATGGAGTGGACTCGGAGGCGGGGAATTGCCGGCCCCAAGCTTGGGCTTTGGGGATGCTACGATCTGTGAGCAAGGAGTCGGCGGTACGTAGAGGCGCAACTTACGGCGGCGGGGCAGTTGCTGCTACCTGTGATGCTACTTGAAAGTTGAGAGCAGTCATGTGGGTATCTTTGGAGTATTCGACAGAGAAAAACAAGATGTGAACATGGAAATATATAGTTCTCGGAGATGTCCTGCGATTAATGCGCTTATCGGCGCTTATACAGCGCATCTACGCGCGCATGGATCCGCTCTGGATCCGCTTTAGTGCCGTGTCATGGAAGCGTGCTTCGTCTGCCGTACTGAGATACAACATGCATTTTCCAATCCCAAGATGAGGCCTACGAGAACCTTGCGTCGTGATGCAAAAAGGTATACGCCTTGTCCCCTCCCTCCTCGCCAAGCACTTCCTTCAGTTGCTTCCTGCTCATTCTCACCATCTCCCCGATACTTTCCACCTTGGACATTACATATCGCAGATTTCCACCCGAAACACCGGGGATGCATCGAAGCATCTCCACAGCCGCCGCATTCTCAATTCCACTCTTGAGTGCTCCTCCCTGCTCTCCCTCGCTAGATCCCTTGAGCATGGCAGTAGCCTCATCCGGCTCATCATGATTCAACTTCAGATCCGACAAGATGCGTACAGTCTCTTGCGGGGAAGAAGACCAGATGATCTTGAGTTTTGGGAAATGGAGAGACAGTAGAACGAGTTTGGCTTGGATGTAGAATGTGTCCTGGCGCCATGGCTCATCGGGGTTGATGTTGGGAGTGTTATTGCTAGGTCGTCCAGCGGCCTCTCGGCGAGAATCTTCCTTGGTGCGCATGCCGAATTTGTCTTCATCGAATTCGATGAGAAGGATGCAGGTCTCGTAATGAGCAGTCATCTGTTCGCACTGCGTGTGTCTGTATACGACTCAGCAGAGATCCCCTGCGAACGAAAATGATACTCACAATCGACCATTATTCAAACTGCCTTCCAAATCGGCCAAACTCTTTCTCTCCACACACATCTTGGGAGACAGGATGTAATCTCCCACCGTGAGTGTACAGGGAATGACCTTGATACCGGCAGCGTCGATCAAGGAGGGGAGCAGAGCGCCGATCTCTCGTAGATCGACAATGATCTAGTGTTCATCAGTATCTGATTGCCCAAGACTCTCTGGATTGACTCACTCGTGACTCTGAAGCGCCCTCTCCACCGCCAGCATTTCGCGACGAATAAGTCGTTTTTGATCTGGTGAATGTATCTCGCATAGGCGCTCGGGGATTGTTGTTGTAGATAGGTATGACCATCGACTGCCTGTCGTCGATGAGCTTTTTGAAAGCTTCGGCTTCTCTTTGGATCGTGGAGAGGAAACGGTCTTCTTCGAATGAGTTGGTGTATATCATTTGATATACACGAAGAGACAGTCCTGGGTTGCAATTCTTGTACACCTAATCGTCTGTGAGAGAGCCCCCATCGCAATAACAAGAGACTCACTTCTAGCCGTCGAATGAACGCCAAGTTGGGCTCATAGAGCACCACAAATCTCGGTCTCAGTTCCTGTAGCAAAATATCATCATCCTCTCCCCCATAAGGTCGGATAACTACAGCATCCTCCGGGGCTATCAGCCCGTACTCTTCCTCAAAGTTCTCAGGCATCAGTCCGTAGGATGCCGAATCGGCGCCCAAGACCGGGTCTGAGGGAAGGGTGCCGGGCGGTAAAGGCTGGAGGTCATCTTCGTCTATGATGCCGGATGAAGTGAGGAGGGCAGATGCTGGGTCTTGTCCGGCTCGAGATCTGCGCCAGTCAGTACATCGCAAAAAGCCCGTAAACGGGATACCCACGATTCCCCGATAGCCCATTGCATCTGCGCATCTTCATCTTCTTCACCGCCAGCAAACGCAGAGTGTGCCTTCATCATCGCCTCTCTATGCTCTCTGAAATCAGAGTCAGCTTGGAGCTTTAATTGATCATTGATACTCACCTTTCCATGTCTGCCAATCTCGGAGCTGGGGCAACAGACCCGCCCCTCTGCCTCCTTCTCTTATAACTCGGTACGCCCCTCCCCCTCCCCCTCTCAGCCCTCCTCGCCTCCTCCGATCTCTGCTTTTCAATGTCTCCCCTAGCATTCACCTCATCATCGCCCTTCCTATGCATCCTCATACCCGCCTTGCTCCCAGCCTTGCCATCCAGCCTCTGCCCATTCTTTTCATGCTGCCAATTCGACAAGAACAAAGACTCCATCATTCTCTTCCCCGCATTCGGCCCGAAAGGCGGATCAGTCTTGGCCATGGTGGTGAGGTATTGCCGGAGTTGGAGACAGGTGCGGTCGGAGGAAGTCATGATGAGGGTGATATTGGTACCCGGCGCGTCGGCGTGCGTTTCGGAGACTCGGGCGATGGTATCTTCAATCTCCTTCAAGACTTTGCCGAGGACGCCCCACTTGGGCTGTTCTTCCAGAACCGCTTCGTGTCCTTTCCGTAATCTCTTCTTGACGCTAGCTCGAAGGTCGTCTTGGACACCAACCATGACAGGACGGAAAACGGGCGGAGGAGGTCCTTCGGCGGAACGCAAGGTCTCGTCTGCGTTCTCGTCGTCCTCAATAATGGGTTGCTCTTCGTCTCCGTTATCGTCCCTGTTTGACCGACTCTGGGGGACGACTTGAGTCTGGGTAGCAAAGACCTCCATGATATCCTCCTCATCATTGTCCCTCATCACGCTGTCCCCTTCTCGGCGTTCCCGCTCTCGACGCTCTTCTTCCCTCATCACAGCCTCCTCCTCCCCAAATTCCCCTTCGTCTTCTTGGGGAATGTTATCCATCTCGAGCTTCTTTCTTGATAAACGCCCCTGTGAGGCTTCGACGAGCGTAGCAGCGGCTTTGGCATTGAACCAATCATGGACATGTCGAGCAGGGCCCGTGGTGACCTTTTCGGCGTTGTAATGCTGGCGTTGAAGTGTGTTGATGTAGGAAGCAAAAGTCGCAGAGTCGTATTCGAGTAACCAGCTACAGCAGCGTAAGTCGTGTTTGGGACAAATCTCCAAAGACATACGTGTGCAAATTTCGAAGCTCAGCAAGAGCAGCTACATGGATCTTTGTCTTTGCTCCGACTTTATGCCAGACCGGCTTGAGCTTCATTCTGACGATGGTGTCAAAGTTCTTGAATTGGGCGTTGCGGACGTTGATGTCTTCCAGATCAAGATTCTAATTGCTATCAGTATCCACTCAAATCCTATAGACGAAACTTACCAGAGAATGATCTCTCTTTAATTCCACCAACATCGCTTCCATACACTCTGTGATAGCATCCTGACACTGCCTCATCAGATCCGTCATCGGGATATACATCTCCACTACATCTGCCCTCCGACTCGACAGATCCATCTTAACGGCTTCATTGAAACGAGGCCAAATGAGAACCGAATTCATGTTGAGGTTGACGAGCATGTCTTTGAGTGGAGACATGCCGTGGGCAAAGATTTCGGGCTCATCAGAGAATGCTTTGCAAAAGCCGCTTTGATTCTCTCGCCGGTAGAGACGGACAGCAAACTCTTCCTGGCTGCCATGTGAAATTCTTTCAGCGTGCAGAATTACGAGGCCTGTTATGAGTTTGCAGGGCAATGTTCCCTCTTTTAACCAATCAGCACATGTAAGACAGCTCGATCGTGCGCATACTGAGTAGGTCGTTGACGAGAATCTTGCTCGTCACCGAGAAAAGACCTCCATGTCGGTACATTTCTTCTCTGATTTTGATCAAGTCAGCTTCATTTTTGTCACTGGAAACGATGCCGCGCACCTTTCCTTCGCGTGCATCTCGTAACCGACTACTTTGAATCCCGGGTCTCTGACGCCCATGATCCCTAGTTCATCTCCGATACCCGCCTCGTCAGCTGGGGTCGCGCCAACCACAAGAACCAGATCTTCCCGCCTGTCATAGGTCTTTAGCAGCGCACATACTACTCTCCTGAGTCCCAGCCCCTTGGCGATGATGAGCAGGTCATCTTGCTGAGGGCGACATATGGTGCGGATGAGTGATTTGTGGAAGGACAAGTAGGGAATGTGGCGCCGAGCCTGCAGCGAGTAGGGGTCGGGGGTGGACATTGTGCAGCTGCACGTCTGGCGAAGAAATGGAAACTTGAAAGAGATCGTTGAGAGCTGATGTTTGAACTCCTCTCTGCTGCCCGGCGGGCCGTCGCGCGTCATTAGCAGGTGGAGGTCATGCCTTACATAATTTCTCCTCTGGCAGTGCACTTTTCGATTCCATCTCTCCCTGACGGTAGTTATCACTATCGCTGCATTATTCCTACTAAGCTAATATATATATATTGCAAGGGAGACCAAACTCTTGAGCCGCGAGACCACGTTGCGCGTGTACCAAGGAGGAAGAGTCGGCGCCAAAATTATAATCCATGAATACAACGCTCCTGACGTTCATCCCATGTTTCAATGTGGATGGCACTCTCAGGAGGCTAGTACCACAAAGCCTATAGGGTGAATGTTCTGTCAGCGCCCGTCTTGTCATAAAGAACCCGAATGCCTATGATGAGGACTAACCTTGTTCCAGAAGACGACCTGAGCAGAGTCAAGCTCGTCACCGGTGATGTTGAAACCGGCACCGGAAGGCTGGAATTCGACCACCTGATCCTCGGAGCCGTAGAGAGGCCAGGAGTCGATGGTAGATAGGTTGCCGGTGGAGCCGCTTGCGTAGGTGTTGGGGTCGCCAGTGAGGACGAAAGAGACGAGGTATCGCTGCATCTGCAGCGCAACAAGGGTTTCGTCGGTAGTGAGACTGGAGTCCATACCTCCACCACCAGCACTGCCGCCCCCAGCAGAAGGCGAACTAGAATCGGTAGAGTTGGAGGAAGAGCTAGAGGTGGTAGAGTTGTAAGAGCCGGAAGCGGTGGACGTAGAGTTGTCTCGACGAGCGATAGAGGAAGTGCTGGAGGAGCTCGAGTCGTCGGAGGTGCTAGAAGAGTTGCTGTACCACCAGTACGTCTGATCGGAACCATGGCTATAGCATATAGTCAGTCGACATTCCACCTCTGTGAGTCTGAAGCATGTTCACTCACGTAGCAGTACCAAGGTAGTTGACGTAGTTGTAGGTTTGGTTACCGTAAGCGTTGGTCAAAGGCAAGAGCTTGCCGGGAATGTCGTAGTGCTGTTTGGCAGCAGAGAATCTCAATCCTTGCGAAGAATAGTCGGAAGCAGGGTAGAGATCCTCGATCTGGTCGATGGCCCAGTCGGTGATGGAGGGGAAGATGGTCTTGAACATGGCCCTGTAAGAGGCGTCGTCGTCGACATCAGAAGTGGCTTGACTATTGGATTCGTCTGTGATCGATGACTCGTCAGCACGATAGACGATACATTGTCAAGACGGTGTGACTTACGAGCAGAGTGTCCCAGTAAAACTTGGACGTCCTTGTGGAACTGGCCGATGGAGAGGAGATACTCGGAAGTCTTGACCTCTGTCAGCCACTTGACTTGTCAATTGGACATGGATCTTTTACTTACGTCGGGGAGGACGACACCGTCGGCTCGGGGCTGCATCTGGTAGTTGTACGTGGACGTGATGTTCTCACTAGCCTCCAAAAGAGTGTCGAATGAGACATTCCTCAGACAAGAGATGGTGTCAGAGGTGTTTGTAGGGCAGCCGCCGACAAGCTCAGTGACGTTCTGGAGGTACTGCTCGGCTCGGGCGTGGCCAGCTCCGGGAACCCATCCAGGGGAGTTGACGACAGCACGCTTGAAAGTAGGAGTCCACTTGTTGCCCCCGAAAGCCTTTCAAATCATGTCAATAAAGCAGACTTTGAGCCCGATGTTCACATACAGTAAGAGCGGCAACGACTTGAGAACCACCAGCAGAGAATCCCCAGTTGGTGACCTCGTCAGAGTCACCACCAAAGTTACCGATGTAAGTGTCCACCCATTCGAGGGCCTTACGAGCATCGTAAATGGCTACGTTCGAGACACCACCGGCTCGCTGAAGGGTAGGACCGTTAAGAACGCCAAAGATGCCAAGTCGGTAGTTGTAAGAGACAAAGATGAGACTGTTGTTGCTGACTTCGAGAAGACCCTGAAGAACTCAAGGATCAGTGCTAATTAGCCAGGCGCTGCGCGGCTGATGCTCACCTCAGGAGTGTTCTCCTCCTTGCTACCGCCAGTCCAGCCACCGCCGTAGTTCCAGAAGAGTACAGGAAGCTTCTGGTCACTGTTCAAAGCACTCTCAGGGACGTAAACGTCGAGGAAGAGGCAGTCTTCGCCTTCGGCACATCCAGAAGTACCAGTTGTGTTGGACCAGGTACCGTTGTTGACAGAGTCCTCCTGGACAGGGTCTTGAGGGGCAGCCCATCGAAGGTCGCCAACAGGAGGAGCGGCGTATCGGATGTTCTTGAAGACATAGTAATTGCCGGCCGATGTGCTGCCGGTCTCGTACGCCCGGATGGTGGAGTAGTTGAGAGAGACCTGTGGAAGGTCAGACGAAGAGGAGGTGGTGTTACGCGGAGCGATGACAGCAGCTGATGAGCTAGCCACTGCACCGAGGAGGGCAAGAAACTCGAAACGCATTGGGCCGTGGTGGTGAGAGAGAAGTGGGACACATTGGTCCCTCGGGTCCTACTTTTATACCGGAGACTCGAGGGGAGTACTAGTCCGAAAAATAAGGATCGGAAACGAATGACATAGCCTTGACATATCATGACACAATGCAGGCGCACAGTACTAAGCCGTAGCACTCGAAAGATACTTCCGTACATTTTCTGCTCACTGCTTTGGGGTGCGCAGGCCGTAGACCACAATTCCGGAATGGCTGCCAGCTAGCAGCCATCTCAGCCAGCCAGCTCAAGCTGCTGAAAAGCTCTACATAGGCCGTAATATGTAGCTGCGGTCAGGGACGACGCTTGTGCAGTTGAGCCCGGGGTATGTACAGTAACACCATCGGCCGATATCTTTGCATTATTACAGCCCGCACTCCTTCCGGCACTCGCAGTGCTCGCAGAGGGCCCAGAGGGGCGAAGAAGCGAAATTGTTCTGTGCGTGCGCAGCAAGCGAGAGCAAGCGCAGCAACGAAGAATGATGTACGTGTCACGTGCCTGGTTAATAACCCTCTTCGGTGACAACCGTCATGGTCATCAAAGGTTGATCAAAGGTTGGATCATGCCATCGACAACAAGTAATAAATGGAGTGGATCCGCTCTCATGCAACAGCGGAAGAAGACCCAAGGGCTCGTACCAGGCTCAGCGATTGAGATACCTCAAAATCACCACCGACACATACGTTCATGCTTCTTCCCACGATACGGCATCGTCGCTCCAGGACAAGAAACCGGAAACTCCCAAATTGCGCCTGGCGGATATCATGGTAGCGGCCGACGAGGAGACTGTCAACGATGACCTCGAGTACTATGTGAACGGGAGCAAGACAGCCTTGACAAGTTTGGATGGCAGTCAGGTATCCCTACAGATGGAACGTGGGGGCATGAGGTGGTACTTGTGTCATTGTCGTGCTGTGGTAAATTTGCGTTGATATTCAAGGCCTGCTGTTATGAACATGGCGTGTACATTGCAAACGGCTAAAGGGTTCAAATTACACGAGACTCCTACTCGACCCACGATTCTAAGGACTAAAGATTGCGTTATATGTTTATTGCTGTATATGGATGGGGGGGATGGAGTGTGAAAGAGAAAAGGTCCAAGACAGGCTCAATGCGAATGGGTGCTGATACTTAATATAGACAACTAATTACGGAAAACATAACAATTCTAGATGAAAAACTACAGGTGACTGGGCTTTGAGAAATGATCCGGAGGTATGAGAAATGTGGAAGCGCTGATGTTGCGCTGTTTTTTATCGTGTTGTCGTCACGTTGGGGTATACGTGTATGCTTGGTGATAGATAAGCGATCAATGGGTGAGGGTGGTAGTGCGCCTGCAGTATATGTCAGTGTTGTTATCGATTTGATGAGCACAATTGACATACTCGATGACGGTTTGATAGATGAATTTGAAAGACCAGAGATTGCCCTTGGTCCTCTTGATCTTGAGGATGTACAGCCCGGGGAGATTCTTCATTTTACATAGCTCAACGGTGAACTTTACTTCGTCGCCGGCATCCATCCTGTAAAAAGTCAGCAAGGGAATGCCTCGATGTCAGAGTCTGTACTCACAACTCCTTGCCATACAGAGGCTCGGGCTTGGGCCTAGCAGTGAGCTCAGGCAGCTCAAGGTTTGGTGTAGACTGCGAAGGTGTAGTACCAGTGTCGAATTCGCCGCGAGAGATACGGGCCGGGTGGGCGGAAGATTTGGAACTGCCACGGCGCAAAAGACCCTTGATACCAGCACTGGATCGGTTGCTGAAAGAGGGGCTAGTAGGCAAGGGCAGGCCACGGGCGTCGGTCTATCATGATCGTCAGTTTCGGTCACAGCGCTCAGATGGCACTCTACTCACCTTGCCGGAAGATGCATTGTTCATGAGAGAGAAAGGGTTCATACCCGATCCTGTACTCATGACACTGCCAAGCCCAGTAGGCGGAGGAGCACCAGCAGCCCTCTTCTTTGCCCTGGTGCACCTCAGCTTGAAGTCGCTCTCTCGCTTCATATCAACACCCATGCCACGCAAGACCTGCATGACCTCCTTGAACACATCCTGAGGAGGTTTGGTAGTAAGGGCAGATTGGTCTACAAGGCCAGTGTGGACACGGATCGATGTTTCGTTGAAGGTATAGGTGGAGGCGGATCGAGCCCGGCCGATCAGAGGAGATTGGTGGTCAGAGTTGATAGTAGGAGGCTTGCTAGTAGAGGGGCGGGGAGGAGTAACCGTGACAGATGGGGCAGCTGCAGCGGCAGTGGATTCTTCCTCTGGCTCCTCAGCAGACCCTGCCTCCGGTTCTCTCTTCTCCACAAGTGGAGATGATGCTTCGGCGTTCTCTTCAGTCCTGTTGACACTGTCATACGAGGCCATCGCCAAATTCGATCCCTCGTTCCTCCTCTGAGGCGAAGCAGCGTCACCCACTCGAACAAAGGAAGACTGTGAGTCGCTCTTAATCCCAGGGGATCCGAGCTCATCGATTGTGTCCCTAGTAAGAGTCTTTCGACGGAACCAATCCATGACCTTTGAAGCTTTGCTGGATGAGCCACGGTGGTTTGGGTAAGTTGCCTGAGCTGCGTAAGGATCGATGGTGACAATCGATGGCGAGCTTTGAGCAGGGTGCTCGTCTCGGTTAATGATCGCATCTCGAGGAGTTTGAGGAGGGTCGGGGTCCGGGTGGCTCTCAGTATAAGGCGGGGCAGAGGCGGGGACTGCAGAAGGCAAGGGTTTGATCTCCCGAGTGTTTTGTCTACGGTGGTCAGTATGTGCCAAAGGCATATCAATCTTGACGTACCTGTTGAAGCCAAGCTGGATTGTCTTGCGTCGCAAGTCTTTGATCGAGTCCCCGGGTCCTGCGTTGGCTGGCATTCGGTTATCGCTGTTCGGGTCCTTAACCCCAAGAGGAGTACCTGGAACAGCAATGTTGGAAGGGGCCTTGCTGCCGCGGCGACTAAATGTCCGTTAGTATCATCTCGCACGCAGTGGAAAGACTGCACTTACTTGTGGAAGCCAAGCTGCAATGTACGCCTTCGGGACTTCTTTACGCTATCCGTCTCCGCCACAGGTCTGTCCTGCTTGCCATGTTGCTGCAGCTGTGTCTGCAAAGCAACCGCACTTGCACTCGCGCTGGGCGGCGCCATCCTACCCTCGCCCTGTGCCGAAGAAGATGCTTGAGAAGCATGGCCCAGGAGCTTGGAAAGACCAAATTTGTCGAGCGACATGCCCTTCCGGCTTCTGTCCTTGCGGGCGGCAGCGGGAGGTGGTTTGGGCAAACCAGACGCGTTGAGTTGTGGGTTGGCTTTTGGTTCGGGCACGGTCGTGCTCAGCGCAGGAGGCATGGAGCCATGACGTCGGTGTGGTTCTTGCGCCAGCGAGGCCTTGGGAGTGTTCGGGGCAGGGGCCGCGGTCGTCTTGGGGCCACGGGGAGTGATGTTGACCGCCTCCTTGTCGGCAAAGGTCGAGGCTCGAGGGGTAGACGGCGATACAGCTTGGCTGAGAGGATCTGACCTTTGCTCGGCAGGAGTGGTGACAGTCGACGTCGCTTGAGAATCAGCAGAAGGCGCAGAGGGAGCAGAAACTCCAGTCTCGGCAGGAGGAGCAAGGGGGACAGTGGTGGGTACCACAACCGCTGCTTCAGGCTTCTTGGACTCTACCATCTCCGGAGCCTTGTTATGCTCGTTGTCAGACGAACCAGACTCCATCTCCACGTCACTCGAGTCACCTTGCTTGAGGTTGGGCAGAGGAGGAGCAAGCATGCCCTCGCTAGTGTCAGCAGAGGAGCCCTCAGCGCGCCTCTCCTCGGAACCCATCTCCTGCATCTTGTCGTAAGAAGCCTCGCCATCATACTCGACTTGAATTGTGTGACGATTCTTGTTCTCGCGCATGGACGGACGAGGAGCCACCTCGGGCTGGACAGGGACGACGGCAGTGGGGGCCAAAGTGGTGTCCTGTGAAGGGGCGTTGGCACTCAAAGGTTGAGCCTCAGCAGTAATGGGCGAGACAACAGCGGGGGCTGTCGACGAAAGGCCTGGGGCCATAGATTCTGAACGTCTGCGGGGAGAGTCGATGGCAATGGGAACTGCTTCTGAAGGCGGTGCGGGGACTGGAGCACGAATGGAGGAAGGCGTGGCGGACCGAGCAGGGACGTGGGCGTCTGCTATGGGGGCCGAATGCTTTGCAATGATCTCGGGCATCGTAGGCGCACCAGGCATAGCACTGTGTGGGCGTCGGCGACCCTGGTCGAGAGCCGCAGCAGTGATGGTAGTACCAGGAGCGCTGCTCTGGCTTCGCTGGAAAGCCTTCTCTCGAGCCTGCATAGCCTCCTTGGCCTGCATCTGCACGCGCCTTCTCTCTTGCAACTCTTTCCGAGCTTGTTTACTCTTCTTGTACATTGCCTCTTGGAACGCCGCCTCGCACTCTTCAACGCTCTTGTTGAACATGTGACGGTAGTTCTTGAGCCAAGGATGAGTCATGATATCGGGAATCTTTATTCTGTGCTCGGGGTGTAGAATAAGCATGTGTTGGAGAAGGTTTTTGCCGAGCGGCGAGACGTGTTCCGGGTAGTGAAGCTCGGTGTTCATGATGTATCGGTAAAGGTCGACGACGTTGCCGGCATCAGGGTTGTCTGGGTCGTCGTCGTAGGGGAGGTATCCAGCGACCATCGCAAACAGGATGACACCACACGACCAGATGTCGACGGCAGACCCGTGGTAAGGAGTGTCGAGAACAACAAGCTCTGGCGCCGCGTAGCACGGACTGCCACAACTTGTTGACATGAGATCGCCCTCCTCCTTGGAGAACGAGTTGGCAAAACCGAAGTCGGTGATGATAAGATTCCTGTGCTTGTCTAGTAATAGATTCTCGAGCTTCAAGTCACGATGAATGACCCCCTTCTGGTGAAGGTAATCAACACCTGAAATAAGCTGAGCAAAGAGTCTTTGGCCTTCGACGTCTTTGAGGTACTCGTTGGCGAGGATGTATTCGAAAAGCTCTCCGCCTACATGCGCGTCAGCAATCAGCAACACAACTGATAGGTACGTACCTCCGGCAAACTCCAGGACGATT